TCTCTACTTTTTTTAGAGCAAGGCTAGCTGGACAGAGATACATCTGTGCCCACAAATGTCTGTCATGATTCACCTCATTCCACCTATGGAACAGGTATTTAAGAAGCTGCTTGGACAGTAGCTACCCAGTAGCCTAGAGGAAGATTTTTCTGTAATACTCTCCAAAGTCTGGAAAAATTCTTATGTTGGGATTTTACACCTATTGTTAACATAATAAAAGATTAGCTCAATTCATCAATATCAAAAGGATGAAAGCCAATAACATAACCTAGCTCCTGAATATAACATGGAATCTAACGTCTTCTTCCGAACAAATAACCTCTTACAAGATTAGGCAGTGTCTGTGATGCTACAAGATTGGAAGCTAGTGACTGAGGTGCAATTGAGACATGGAAAATATTTCATTAATGTAGAATTATAATGAGATTTGTGGTTCCCACGTATCTTCTGTTAGTGGTCTTGGGGTACATCCCTTCTCCAGTACAGCTGTGACACTGGAATAACCACATGTATATAAATGCAGTGTTACACAGGGGTACAACTCCCCTGTTGGCAAACTCGAGCCAGTGGTATTGTTCTGTGACACACAGTACATTTGTATCTGCAGGATGGAGTAAGTCCAGTACTGCCAGTTCTTGAAAATACTGGGATTTTGGCTAGGGTATGACCTACACTAATGTGAGATCCTTTAAACACACAGAGGGGAATTACCTCTGGCTGCCTGCCCTGCTAATCCACCTCATGGGGTAGCAGAAATCAAGCTCAGCTGCTCCAAAGAAGGGCAGAGCTCTACTCTGGCCCAAGACAGACCAAGTTCTCATGCAACAGGATGGTTTTCTGTCCCTTGATACCGTAACGATGCCAAAATGGTGACAGTTAGCTCTTCTGCCCTCTCCTTCTTGCTTCTTTCTACATCACCACCTTCCACTCCAAACGTGGCAGATTGTTTTGTTTAGTAATTCACCCATGTCTCTAGGACCTATGTTTTTACTACTGTGTTGTTGCAGAGAGGAACAAAATATAAATAAATGGAAGTAAACATGATGGGAAATCTTTCTGGGAGAGACTATGCTACTTTTGTTGTGGGTTTTTTTTTTTCTTTTTTTTTTTTATTGTTCAAGAACTTGGGGTTTTGTGACTTGGAGCGCTTGGAAGCGAGAGCAATGAAGAGAATCATAAATTGCACATTTTTAGGGAGGTTCTCAAAGGTAACTAGAGGCTTGGGTATATGTTCTTTGGCAGTTTTTTGCTGCAAAAACTGAAATAAAGTCAGGAAATTCAAATTTGTGCTTCTCAGAACACACATAACACGTGGGTGAGATACAAAAGATAAAACCTATATGGTATTGTAGCATGATATGCGAGATAGAGTTATTCCATAGTACGGTGATTTTCAATTTGCCATTTTCAGACCTTTTAGAAGTAATCTGTTGACATCTGTCCTATGGTATTCAGAGTTTAACAACTGGAAATTACTGAGGATTGATAGTCTGTTCTCTGACTGGCTATAACAGTGTGATACCTTGGTACTTTTCGAAACACTGAAGCATGTTTTCAGAACACAGGCTGTGCCATGAATTGGTTTTATATGCAGAATACTAGAACTCTGTTTCAATCATCAGGCATTGTTAATCCTTGGAAACTCTTGAGTATAGTTTAATAAGTCAAGTTGCCTAGAAGACAGTGTATTTTTAGTTTGGTTGATGTTGTCTGATGGATTAAGTGAGTTTGAAGTTATAACTATTACAGATTAAACCAATGAACTGGAGAAAGAGCTTTAAAATTTGGTGTTTTGCAACATGATTTCAATGTTGTCTCCATATTTTTTTCTATTTTGTAAAATAATGATGTTCACAGAACCAATCCAAAAATTTAGAATGGCAGTTAAATGACTTCTGTGAAAACTGCAGTGTTACCTACTATATAATCTTTCAAATCTGCTAGATTATCCGTTGATTCTAGGTTTCCAGCACAAATATGTATTAAACAGTATCCTTCTTTAGTTGGAAGCAAATTAAGGACAGCCACACTTTGTTTGGCAGTTGAAAAATCACTTTGCTACAAGATTGCATATATAAAGTAATCACAGAATTGGGGAGAACTATTTTTGATATCAACCATGTGCATGTGAAACCTGCCAGTGTGTGTTCAGCACTTGATCATCATTTGGGACACTTGTAGGAGAATTCTGACTCGTGATGTTCAGAAATTTTCTAGATATAAATGCATTTATTATTGGCCAACTGTACTACTTAGCTCTGAAAGCTTACTGTCATGAGTTTTTGATATTGGATTACCACAAGAGCTTGGGGGCAGGGTTTTAAGGTAATTTGTAGTTTCTGATTTATTTTTTTTTTCCCCCCCTGGATATCACTTCTTAGATACACATGTATCTAAATCAAATTATTCCCTGTGTAGTAGCAACCTAAGGCTTCTCTGCTTTAGGTGGCTTTTGAGAACTGATTAGTAGAGAAGGCAAAGTGTTACAGCTGTTACTATTATGTTGTTATGTTGTCTGTATTTTAAGAAGTAGGTGTGTGATTTCCAACTTCAATTTTGTCTATGCAGGCAAAGTCACATGCTCGGAAATTTAATATTTATGTATTCAGAGTTTCTGGAAACCTGGCTTTTCATTTAACCTTCTTTAAAGTAGGGATTCTCATACTGTAATACCTGGTACAGGCTTGAAGTTTTCAAATACTTGCCAAGAAATATGTGAGTGTGGTCATCTTGTTCTGTTGTCCAAAAAATACATCTCATTTTATGGTAGTTGTTTTGATGTTGTTTTCCTTGTGATGGGAACTGCAGTTTCTCACCACAACAGCTCATGGTAAAGCAAGATAAGCCATGTAGGCAGGTTGTCATGTATGTGATGAGAATGATCTGACTGAATTTGAACAGGGAATGCCAAGGAACGTGTTTCTGTGCCAAGCATCGAAAGCGGATTCACAAACTTACTGTGAAACAAAACTGAGCTTGCATAAGATATGCATGCTTTAGTGGAAGAGAATAATCTAATGCTTCTATCTCTCTCCTTCCAGTGGAGGAAACATCCAGGCTGCAGATTTCCCATTGTATGTTTATGCAAATAGGACCTCTGTCTTTTTACTTTTTAGAACAGCATCTTCAGAAGAACTGAGGAACACAGATTGACATGGAACTGACAGAGGTCCAACAGCATGAAATACATTGTTATGGTGCTTATGTTGGGAGCAAAACCTAATTTTACTATGAAAATAAAGTTGAAATTAAGCTACTATCGATTTTTTTTTTTCCCCTTGGAGGCATTTAATGATCTCTTGCTAATGTTCCATTCAGAGTATAATTACTGTATGTAAAGTAATCACAGCTCAGCTATGTATAACTGTGGGCTGAAGCCCTTCTGCGGGCTTTAATCAAGCTCCGTCCGTATCTCCTGTTCTGTGAATCCTTCCCTTTTAGGTGCAGAAGTAGGAAGCATTTCTCTGTGGCAGGATTTATTTGTGCCCTTACTTTCAGCTCACCTAATGTTCTAGGATGAATTGGTTGGCAAGAGAAGGGGATGGTTAGAACCAGTGAAGAGAGGTCAATTCTCTCTAAGAAGCCAGCCACAAATGGCTTTAGTTCTCAGTGATTTTTCCATGCAGTTGCTGTACACCAGGTACCCGTCTCCCCTGAAAGCTGTGCCAGGGGTCAGAGCAAGAAGGGAGGGTTCATTCATTAAAGGAAACTTATGCTCTTCTTCTATTCAGTTTAATTTACAATGTTTCTTCTCAAGTGTTTTCTTAAAGCCAGCTGTTATTGTAGAACAACTGAATAGATGACAGTGTTGTCTTAAGGATTCTTACGAGTCTGTTTGTTAACTGGCTGATCTCTCTTCTCTCTCCTCTTAAATATAGCTTACTGTCTGTATTATGAAGGAATATGTGAAACTGAAGTTTTTTAAATGTGTATTACTATTTGTATGGTGTTATAACTTGTTCATAGTGTCTGGCCCATTCCGATGTTCTCATCCTTTCTGAGACTAAATTCTGTGAATCAGATTTTGCAGATGAGACCACACCAGACTGCTTATATCACAGCACAGATCCCTGTGGGACTTCTCTGTAAATACTGTTCATATACTCCTATACAGTTTCTCATGTTCTAAGTTCCTCTTTATCAATACAGAAAGCTTTCCTTTGCATGATAAAGATCAATCAGATTTTGCTCAAAACTAAAAATCTGTTAATGTAAGAGTAAACATTTGTAAAGTCCTGCACAGAGTCTTGTTTTAAACAAGTTAGTTCAGCTGCAAACAGTGCACTCGTGCATGGAGATGCAAGCATAAAATAATTGGTTAGCTGGATCTTACAAGTCCCAGTCTAACTGTTCAAAAGTGGTATACACACACAATTCTCCCATATGTCTAGAAGTCAAGATTAACTTGATGTGACTGCAGTTAAGACAAATTCTGAGTTTCATTTGTGTTGCAGTTTTGAGTCCTTAAGATTAGCATTGCTGTGTGAAACAATCAAATTTGTCCTCAACTTTTTTTCATCCTCCTGTCTCAATGCAGAAAAACTTCACTGGCCTAAGACAGAGCTTTCTAAGAAATCAGTCCTGAGTCCAGAAGAACATAAGCTGAACATTAATAATGAAAACAGTCTCCAGCACCCACCTTCTGGGATCCTTAAGGACATTTTCACAACAGGAACCAGTAGCTACAATGTCCTTCTGCAGAGCAAAGAGGAGAAAAAACACCATGCTCAGAAGCAGTCATCTGCTCACCATAAGAAACACAGAAAAACTACAAAGTGTTCTACCATCTTGAGAAGCAATGAACACCGCAAAATCAAAGTCCCGCTCCCCTTGCTCAGCAGTGGATGGTACTGCACAAACAGACAACCCTCCCTCATCGTCACTGGCCCAGTGTCTACCAGCATGAAGTTTACAAACAGTATTTCGGTTGCCGGCAGTAGCATAGCACTGCCATCCCGACCCAGAAGTAGAACTAAGAGGCATTTTAATCTAACAAAGCCAAAGCAATCCCAGTCCTCAAAAAGCCATGGCAAAGAAGGTGATGTCTCTGGGCAAAAACTCTGTTTACTGACTGCAATCAAGCCTTCCAATGTGGAAAAAGAGAAGATGAAATTCTTCAAGTCAGATTTCACATACAATCCTCAATTCGAATATGCAAACCCTGCTCTGCCAAACGTGTTAGCTAAGCACAGCCATGCATCTGACAGATTTCTTAAGCAGGTATAGTTACTTTTTTCCCTCCTTTTTCAGTGGTTATTTTCCCTACACCTATTAAGGTGGCATTTGGCTTTGTTTGTAGCGAGTTGTTTCTCCTTGTCATCCTCCCCTACTGTTTGAAAAATGCATCAAAGATGACAAAACAACAGTAGAACTGAAAGAAAATTATTTTGATTAAAAAATTAAAGCCTTCCTAATACTTACAGGATTCTGTATGATAAAGGCACAGTTCCTTTTAAATGGGTTTACATGAAACATAATTTAAGGCAAGAAAGCTTTTTAGGCAGTGAAGCGGAGTCCAGTACAGGAAAAATATAATGCCTAAATAGGCTTTAATAGGCAGAGGAAAAAAGCAGTGTAGCAATTCTGCCAATCCTCTCCGTGACACAGGGATTGGGAGGAGATAGCAATTTGAGGTCATGGTTATTCAATAAGCATATGTTGATGTTCCTTGTTTTAATCAACTTTGAAAGGATATTTGCATATACATTAGACTCAGTCAAGCAGCGGACAAATTCTTTTCCACAGAGAGCTAAAATTTTAATATATCCCCCCCCTTTTTTTTCCATAATATGCAGCCACACTGGTAACATAGTACAGACGTTCCCATTCTATGTAACTAGCCTGGCTTCCTACCTGTCTTTGAGTTACAAAAAACCCAAAACCTAACAAGAACAATTAAAACCTCGCTTTCAAATTTGACCTAAGTGACAAAAATCAGAGCTTATCTATACGATATCAGTACCAGTCCTCTTCACAGTTTTGCCATTTTAAAATGGTTTATAAAGACCTTATTTAAGTCTAACAAGCTCTGCTAAATGGAGAATCTTACGTTTCAAGTGATGCTTAACTTGGGAAGAGCTCCTGACATTCCATGAGTTGCACTTCTTTGTGATAAGAATATTTCACTTAAAACCCCCGAAAATTCCTGATGAAAAGGATTAATTAATTAAAGTACCATGAGTTCTAATAACTGACCCTTGACTTCTGAAGAGTGACTTCTTTTTTCTTTCCTAAATCCAAGAACGAATGTAGGTGTTATTACCCATTTAGTCATTGTATTATAAAGCTTAGTCAGCGTTTTCACATTTAAAATATCTGTATATTTTAAAAACTCAGTAGCTGGGTTTTCATTAAGAATTTATTTTCAGAGAAAAGCTTTTCTGTTCTTAAAATCAGCTTCTATACTTCTAAGCAAGCGACTAAATCATACTGACACCAAATTAAACTACTCCTTGACTAGAGCTTTTTAGCAAGTTTTCCTTTGATTTTTATAGCAATGTTAGCAACATTAATCATAGATTACATCAAATTGACAATAGCTAATTTGCCAGACTGGATTTAATATAAACTTGTATGAGATAGCAGAGCCTTAAAAATTATCTGTGGTGATTTTATAGAGCAGGCCTGTTATTGATTTACCCTTCTTTTAATTAAAAAACCCACGCCTAAATAATACATATTTTAATAATGATTCCTCAATATTATTCTGATTTGTAACTCTTCCTTTTTCCTTTTACATAAAAAGTATGAGAAAATAAAGGCTTTATAACAAATTTATAAAAAGCAGTGAAGGATTTAATGTTCAGTGAAGTATGGTATTTCTAAAACTTACCAAGGAGAATATAAATTATTTCATAAGATTTAGTGTAAGTTCTTGGCAAGAAAAGCATTTCTTCAAAGTTCAGCTTCTAAAAATACTGAACAATATCTTGCACTTAAATGACTAAAAAGGACAACTTTAACCCAGCTCCAAGCCCAGCAGGTGGCAGTCTCTCTTTTTTATCTATAACTAGCTTTAGCAATTTTCAGCTCCACGCAAATCTGAATTTTATTTCATGCAAATTTCCTATCCAGAAAAAGCAGCATTAATCAAAATTTTAATCAGAAAATATTGTATGAGCCCTTGTTTTTCCTCAGTACTACTTTTTTTTTCCTTGCATATTTTGATTGTCAGAAGAAACACTTAGATATAGGAAGTGTTAAGTCCAGGAAAAATTAGTTGCAAAAAAAGTACTTAGAGTGTCCAGATTTGGGTCTGCAGTAAAAACACAACTGAGTGTAGTCATCCTTTTTCCTGCAACAAGGAAGAATTCAATTTTGGCTTTTTGAAACATTTACTTTTATTTGTTGCTGTAATTATTTTAGGAATCTTTCTGTTCTGTGAACCAAACCAGAATGATTTCTGGTTTATTCTGTAAAAGGTGCTTACAGCAACTTACACTTGCTTGCTCTTCTATGACTAATGTATCTGTAAAACCAACTTTTTACTGACAGAACTCACAAATTTTAAAGGGGGCTTTCAGGATACTTCAGTGAAGTGAGCTCCAAACCTGACATTTCAGAATTTTAGATGATTTTTAATTATTTCAAAAATATTTTTACCCACAATTGTGCATAGCCTGCTAGGACATTAAAACAGATTTCATTTTCTTATTGCCTTTTCTGCTTTTGTGCATGTCTATGGAATTGGTTAATATAGCATTACTGCAACATATTTGGAAGATGAATCACACCCTGCCCCATTCTTTTTTAAGGCAAAGAACACTTAATACAGCAGTGCTGCAATGGGGAACACACTGGGTGCTTATGAGCACCCACTTCTAGTCAGATCAAATATTTTAATTCTTGAACACAGCCCAACACTTTTAATGATTGACTTTTCACAGACATAAACATTTTTGAATTATTAATACATTTGAGAATAATATTTTAAATATCTCCTCATACTTTGTTGTTTCTCTCTTTCTACTTGAGTCACACAATATGTGCCTTTAGGAAAGAGAGCTGAAGAATAAAAAATTGTATGCAGACTTGCAGCTTTTCACATTAATTGACATATATAATATTACAGAAATTAATACTCTTATTGCTGTGTTTCAAGGTCAGTGCAGCAACTGTATGCTCCAAGTGCTATGAAAGTGTTCTTATTAGCACTCCTTCTGGCTCAAACTACTTGTCCTTCATTGTTAAGTTTTCTTAACCGTTAAAGTGATTGTTATTTTTTGCACAGATGCTAGAGGTGGCAATACTTAGCTAGAAATAATTGTCCCCCGCATTTGCAAAGTGGATGACTTAACAGTTGCAATTTGCTGAACCAAAATCAGCAATGAGGTTGCAACTTCCAGTAACCAGTATATTAACACCTGTTTCTTTGAATTGTACACGAAAGTATGAAGTCTATTGTTATATACATATATATTCTAAAAAATCATCATTTTGTTGAATGAGTAATCCCCCCTGTGAGAGAGCTGTACATCCTTTTCCCTTGTACTCATAAAAATATAGCAGTTCTGAGTTAATAAATGAATCAGTTGTGCCACATTACAAGTGTTTGTACTACACACATTTTAAGTCGTTAATACAAGTAGCCTACAATTAAGAAAATTTATCAGATGTTGGAAAAATAGTTAGGTGGAGCTGGAAGGCTAAACAACATAGCATTTAACACTGAGTAATCCTTTGCAGTGTCTAGGTGATGTCACAGTTTAGGCATGTTGAAGATTCAAGAATGTGTCCCTGGCTGTAATTGTAAAACAGCTCATTCTCCACTAGTAACAAATTCCCTCCTAAACTATTTAAGATTTATAGATAAAGTGTGTTAATATATAACACAAAGCATATCAAGCCATCCAAGTAGCATAAGTTCTCAGGGTCCTACACAAAATTCTCTTTCACTAGAAGAGACTGTAGATCACTTCTGGTGATACTACACTAGGAGCATCGGTTTATTTCAGGACACGGTCTTATAAAAAAAAAAAAGTACTAATTTTTAATTCGTTGCAAAGTATTTGAAAAGTATTTAATTAAAAATATTTCTACCACCTCTAAATTACTTAAACATGCTCTTTGTCATACTGAGAACAAGCATGCGAAAGAAAAGCCACTCTAAACACTGAGTAAAGTACCACAGCCTGAGTAGACTAGCCTCAAAAATCTACTCTTACCTCTCTCCCTCCTTTTTTCCCTTGACCCAAAAATGAGGCAGCCACCATTTTACATCTGCTGTTTAGACTAACAAGTTACATATGGTACATCTTAGTGTTGCCTAAAGACGTGTCTGGGAAGCTTTACCCCCCACCAAATAAGCTATGCAGAGAGGAAAGTGATGGTGCCTGTGAGACTTTGTCTCACAAATCTCACAAACAGAAACTGCAACCCTTTTGTAGCAGAGCTGCTTCTGAATGTAGGATGAGCTGACTGAATGCAGAGGCCTGACTTCTAGGTCACTGAGCCCGTTTTCTAACTTGATTGCCTCAAATGTTTCATGAGCATGTCTTACCAGTATGTGCATCTACAATAAGTCTCAAGTAACTAAGGTGTGTTGCTGCGCATGGGTGACTTGGGATTCAGAGACCTACTCGGCTGCAAATAATTTGTTTAAAAAAGCCAACACCACCACAACATAAACCTGTCAATTAGAACCCTGTCTTGCTCTTGTTAGTGCTTCTGTGTCATTATTTTCTTGACCAACAGATTTGCTGCACAAGGGGACTTGTCTTGGGACCACTGCTTCTTTTGGCACTCTTCAATAGTGATAAGAGGGATTAAACCAGACCTTTTAGATAATAATGAAAAGAACAGGAATTACTACTCCTAACTAGTAACTTGGTACAGACGCACAGTCCTCCTTCCATTTTTTTTTACCTGTTGCTGAAGAGCTTAGTTTGGCTGTTGGAACTGTGGCAGTATCAGTACCTTGCTTTCTGCTGGCCCAGAGGCTGGAAAATGAGCTCACAGTTGGATGCTGGAATAGGCAAGAGCTGTCATGCTGGTCTGGATTTTCCCCTTTCCCAGCAAGTTCTTGCAACACCTGACTTTGAGTCATCTCACCTCAGAGACAGGTGTAGAACCCCAAGTGAGGGGCTCCGTGTTGTATTCAATGCCTGGGATCCAAAAATATCCTGAACCTTTTCCCTTCAGGAACCACCACCAGCCAGGGTGGTTGTAGCAAGAAGTATCAAAACCAGCAGCATCACTGGGGACAGGGCCCACCTCAGTGCTGGGACGATCTGCCACTCCCCAGAGATTTGTATGCTGGTGGCAATGTGTGTGTGTGTGATGGCTCTCCCTGTTGTTTTGGTGCTTCGAGTCACACCTGCCCACTTGGAAAGAATTCTCGGGACTTCTGTTTTGCTTGAAACAGAATCATGGAAGAAGGTGGTGGTGATGAGCACCCTTCTTAGTGATTTCCTAATGAAGAGAACGTGTTCAGCAATGAGGAGGCTAAAGCTTAGTGACTTTCTCAATATTTATGGGTTCAAAGTTGCAACATCTGTTTGGAGGTGGCTGAACTGCCAAGATAGAGGTTACTCAGCATGGCACATAAGGTAGAGGAAGCACCCTTCAGTATCCCACTCTTCCCCTTGAAGCTGCAAACTGTGCACCAGGTTGAAGTGGGAGAGGCCAGAGTGAGTCTGTGCTTCTTCAGGGGGAAGTATCCCTGAAAACCTGCTAATCATATTGTGCTGTTGATTCAAGTGTGTCTCAGCATTTTAGGAAAAACCTGAAACGGCCCAGGAAGGGTTCAGGAGGTAGAACTTGGGTCTTCTGACTCCCAAACTCGTGCTGCCTCCCTTGGCACACATAGGTCTCAGCTGCAGGGAGTTTGCTGTTACAGATGACCAAGCAGGAAGTTTAATGCTTGTTCAGTGCTTATTTTCTCACTGTTTGCTGTGATTAAGTGGTTTTAGAAAATACCTGCACTCTGACTAAGGCAGGAGAGTCCTCTGAGAGAATACCACCAAATAAACCTACGTAATACTGCATCTCATAGCAGTAATGCCTTTATAAACAGTGTCAAACAGAGAACTGGTTAATAGAGTTTACAAGCCATTTTCAAACACCCTTATTTTTATGAGCTTGCACATTGGGTTGAAACTGCCCCCTTGGTCTCAAACGGTTTTGGCAGTCCTCTGTTTCATCAAACCTGCTCTCATCCACCCCTACTCAACTTTGATCAGCACTCTAGATTTGTCCTACTCTTTTCAAAAAATATGTAAAGTATCTTTGCTATTCTTCAAGCCTACTTCTTATCTTTTTGCTACCTTTATTGGCTTCTTTCAGCCTGTGAATCTCATTCGCCCGTTTTTCTCTATCCAAAGGCTTTGCCATCACGTTGTCAGAAAACCTTTTTTGCATTGTTTGATATGAAACTGAACTGGACCTGATGTTTGGTTTGCTGAGAGGCAGTATGGGCATCAAAATGTAATAGTCTTGTTCCTGTGTTTGTTGGGAACCCAACAGCCACATGATCCTTTGGCAATGGCCAAGTGTTGCCTGACAGAGGAGTGCTGGTTCACCTTAAGGCAACACCGTGCCTGGGGGTCTACCAACCGTTCTGCTCAGTGAATGGAGCCCTTCTAGCACCTGAGCCAATATCCTCTTCTTGTTTGATTTACTAGCAGACAGATGTAACTTGAGTGTTGGATACTTTCTGAAAGATGCCTTAAAAACCCTTAGAAGGGAAAGGACCAAATCCTGGTGACTTTTGAATATAATATCCATCCCAGCATCAGTTCCTGCAGTAAATAACTTCCAGATAATTTAATGCCAAATCTTCCCACCCACAGGATCGACTGTGTTTTAAATCACATTATTCAAAACTTTTGAGGGGAATTGCTGTTCTGTACAACAATACATTTGAACGTAAAGACCTATTTCAGAAAGTGAGGATTTGGGGGATACCGTGTAGTGTAGCTGCTCCAGGGATTGCAGTTCTCTGAGAAGCCCTGTTGCATTATAATTCTTCATCTCACTGTGATTTTTATAAAATGCTACTAATTATAATGATTTTTTTCCCAGAACTTATTACTGAGAGATAGAATTGGCCACAGGAAGAGATAGGGAGAAAAGGAAGATGTTCAGGAGACAAAACATGGTGCTGCTGGGCTGCAATTCTCTTTAGGAATGGAAATCACTGGTGCACATTCAAAGGAACTTAAGTCTCCAAGAATTTAAATGAGTACTTACTGTGTTTAATCTAATAGACTTAATTGAAAATTAATATCAACAAGTTGTGGAGACAAATTTCATGCAAGAAGATTAATTCAGAGAAGACTTCTTTCAGAGTAAGCAAATAAAGTTAATTAATTGTTCAGAGAAATTAGATACACCAAACAACTACTAGGAGGCATACGTATCTTAAGGATCTGGCACCTTGCAAAGGAAACTGCAGAACTGTTGTCATTAATTACTCAGGTTGGTGTCTGAGAATAAACTTCCTGGGACAGGGGACAGGAATTTTTGGGTTGTTCTTTAACCAAGGGTTTTGTGTAAGGCAGGAAAATGACTCAGCATTTGCAGACACTGAAAAACTTCTAAAAGAGCCCATGTTTTTAGAAGTTAAAAAAAAAAAAAAAAAGAAAGAAAAAATCCTTTGGGAAGATATACAAGCTATTAAACAAGAACTACATTTTGTTCCGATTTGTTCTTTACATCTAGTCCTTGATCCTAAATTTTGCTAGAAGGAATTGGCATTAGTCTCCAGAAATATTAGGCCTTGCATGAGGGATTAATGTATTCCTTCTTTTAATACTTAGACACTAACCTTGCTTCATTTATTTGAGAGACGCAAGAAAAAATATATTATTTACTGACATAGAAAGACCTCTCTAATCTCCTTCTATAATCTTTCAGGCACTGCCATACCTATGCATTTGTACAAGACCTGATATACAGGGAAGTTACTGAGAACCAAAATCCCCTTTACCTCGTTGGTCAGCAGTACAGATGTGTAGTTGTCCTTGCTCATATTTCTGTGCAATAAGTTTTAGGAGTTACAGCAAAAGTAACAGCACTGAACTTCTGTCAGATACCTACAGCAGCGGGTTGGCAAAATGATGCCAGAGCTACCCAGTTTGCACCAGATGAGGGTATATCCTCTATTTGTGTCTTTCAGTAGCAATTACACAGGGTTGCTTGTTTTCAACTTGAAAAAAATTAGAACAGGATTGTTAGTAGCTGTGAGAGATACGAAATGAACCCTGGTGTTGTGGACAATCAGCCACTCTGGCAGTGTCAGAATAACATAGCTGGAAACAAGCATGTTATCAGCTTCATGCATGATATAAGTGTACAACATAAAAAGAGATTCAATCTGCAAGATTTCCACCTTCATCATTAGTGGTATTTTCTCAGCAAGAACATTAATTTTTTAAGGTAATATCAGTAATATTTTTTTCTCTGAAGCAGCTTCTGTTACCATATCTGTGAAAAATGCCATTCCCTGTAGCTGGGCTATTGCTGGGCAAGAAGTTATTCTATAACACATTTTCTTTTAAGGGTGTGAAATGACGTGTTGGAAGCAAATTACTGGGAATGAGTATTTCACACCCTACCAGTAACATCTTCAACATGCAGAGTTCAGATCACATTATAGGTATCAATGCTCTGCTTTCCATCCACAAGGAACTTCGAGCTGCAGTATGTAAGAGAATTGTTGATACAAGTTTATTTGTCTAATGAAACATGTCTCCTTCATTTTGGGGGGGGGTTATAAATAAGTATTGAAATTTAAATGAAAGGTTTAAATGAAAGTTCTGTGAACAAAGTTCCCATTCTCTCTTCTCCTTTCTGAAACAGACACCCATGGTGCAGAGGATTTTATTGTAAGAAGATATTCTTGGTAGAAATGCTATTGTTAAAATTATAGTTACACATCTGCCTAATCATGGTTCAGCATTTCTAAATTAGAAAATAGCAAGAGATGAAGTGAGATGACAGTAATAGTTGATCTTTGTAAACTTCGTTGGAAAATCATAAAGAGAAACATGCTGACAAACTGCAAATGTCCTTGTGACCTGTTATGTCTGATTTACAAGGCAGTTGCACAACATTCCCAGAATTAAAGAGAAAATGGGTATTATTTCGCTAGACTGATAATCATCTGTGCCATGCTGACGTATGTGGGTCCAAGATGAGTTGATCAGAACATTTTTTTCAGTACTTTGACATTAATGGATGTCTGAAGATGGTATAAATTGATTACAGAGCACAGCAGCCTCTAAGACTACAGTTTGATAGTGACTCCCAGGGAGTTAAAAAAGAAGAAAGATTTTTTAAAAACAGAGATTGAGAGAGAGAGAAAGAATGCACATTCCAGTCTGACACGGGGGCCTTGCTGCATTAATATTTGCTATGCTTTTGTATTTTATAGTCCATTAACATTATGGAGCGGACATTGCAGAAATATGGAAGCTATGAAAAATTTGAACAGGCCACTGGAGGCAGCTTGCTGACCAAAAGTAGGATCTGGAATCATGTCAGGAAATACATGGTGAAAGAAGGGTGTCTTGGTGAGGTAAGTCATACACTGGATCAGGAAAGAAACATTTATCTAGATCTTAGAAATTACAGATGGATGGACCTGAGAGACTATCTGGGAGGCCTTTCTTTCCTCCACAATTACAAGAATATTCCTTACATCATGTTTTTCTCATTCCTGTGCCCAGTCTGATTTTTGAACAATTGAAATGATGCAGATTCCTTGTGAATGCTTCAGCCATCTCTCTGAGCCTGTTTCCTGATTCATATATGCTTTTTCTTAAGTTCACCTCTTATGGGAGTGCCCAAGAATGACACCCTTCCTTCCCTCCTTTTTTCAGCTACTTGGAGGCTAGCACATTTCCATTTATTCATCAGTTCTGCCATCCGTTCTCTTGTGTCAAATTATTCACACCAAAGGAAAGAGTTAAGAAATGGCCAAGAAAAATAAGCAGCAGCCCAAGAGACTGATTTATAAGAAGCAACACAAATGAAAGTGACATAAATGATTTAAAATGTCTGAAAGAGGTTGGCTTGTTGAGTTGGTTTGAGTGCTGGATTTTCCTGACTTCAACCATCTAATTTTTTTAGAGTCCTGTGAAAAAAAATTATTTCCTATATTCAGGATTTTAAAAGCTCACTTGACTGAGTTATGTAGAATTGCTTGGAAGAGTCAGATGAATTTGAATGCATAAAAAGAGAATTATTTCAAATGAAAACACCAGCTGACACAATCTAAGACTTGGGTAAGATCACTGGCAGCAAGCAAGAGGAGTCTGGAATGGGAGATTAAGAGACAAAAATTAGTTTCCCAGGAACTAAGTTTAATTAGTAAACATAATATTATTAGGAGAAACTGTTAAACTCATCACACCCTTTTGGGAGACTGTAACTTGACACTGATAGCAGACTTTACTTGTGTTTCTAAGAGTGAGGATGTGAAACTACAGTTTAGAGCAAACAGAAAAAAACAAATTTTGGTCTTTGCTGTGCTTTTATCTCCCTTTGCGTTCATTTTTGTCTTAGTTTGTCTTCATGGAAGCAGGATCCTACGCTCTTATCGAACATCTTATGTCCTTCTTAATGAAATGCTTTACTTTCTCTGCAAAAATAGGGTTAATAAATCATGCTTAGTATGGTCTAAAATATTATGCAAATAGTCTCTCCAGTTGAAGAGGTGTTAATAAAGCTAAGTGGTACCCATGCTTTAAATCTAAATGCTTTGGGATTTACCTGTCTTTCCTGCATGTTAAATATAAGTTTTATGGGACTGATCGTTTGCTGTTGAACTTGAAGCTGAATGGTGGGTTTTGAATACAGGGAAGTGTCATGTTAATGGCTTTGATACCTGGGTCCTTTTTTATTAACTCTGACATGAAAAAAAATTTACCTCTCTTGTAGGTACTCTCCCTTGTACTCTTCTGAGCAGTACTGTTTCTTTAGGCATTACATGAAGAGGGAAAGGTGCTTAGTCTTCAACAGAGTTTCTCTTCTTCCTCCCAGTCCCTTGTTTAAAAAGTCTTTTTAAATTCAAATAACAAAATATATCCATATGCATTAATTTTCGTCTCTGGCAGTTTTTGTTTTGATTACCAATTTTCCAAGAGAAAACAGGAAAACAAGAACTACATTCCTGTATAAAACAAACCAAACCCATACCAGTATTTTAATAATATTTCAAGCCTGTCTCATGCATCAGGAAAAAAAATACACAGTGCTTCCCTCTCTCATTCATGTGGCTTTAGAAATGCAACTAAAAAGATTTCAGACAGTTAGGTATATGGATATCTAGTCAATTTATGTGTGCTTGTCTTATTTTTCAGTTCTCGGTAATACTAGGATGATTAGACACAGTTCAAAAAATTGAATTTTTCTCTAATTTACTCTGCATATGATTGTTCCCTACCCCCCAAATCGAGTCAGTGTTACTGTATTAAAATTTTACAGTCTCATGTCTGTCTATCTTAACCCTCATGCTAAACCCCACTAGAGTCTGAGATTTGTTCAAGGCAGCAACACGGGTGACTAGGACAGCTGAGTGGAGTCAGAGGTGTCTCTCATAGGTGACTGCTGGGAGCAAGGAAGAGTTCTGAAGGGCAAGGGACCAAAGAGAAATGAAATAATGGGAGAGCTGAAGGAAAAAGCAGGAACAGGAGCGAGAAGAGAGCTCTTTGCCACCTGCACTCTCTTATCTTCAGATTGTGGTCCATCTCACGGAGGACCTGCTATCTCGAGCCTCAATGACAGTGGTGAATGGCCGCCCCACTCTCACTATCAATATCTCCACTGCGCGAGAGCACTGGCTGGAAGGGATGCTGAGACATGAAATTGGTATGAGCATGACATCAGTTCTTCAGGCAAAGGGGAGTACTTGCATGCATTCTTACTTATTTTGCAGTGATGGGCCAGGCACTGTATATATACAGAAGGAGGGAATGTCCCTATGCTGTAGGTGTGCTAATGGGAAGGAGAAACCTATTTATCACTGCAGCATGCAGTAAAAGGAAGATAATTCATTTGAGGATTCCTAGAGTTCATGTACATTAGCATTCTAGGTCAGGTCAGGAGCGAGGTTTTGAAGTGAGTCCACCAGCTAGTCCCACCTACTGCACTGAGGTTCACATGCCAAAGGGATCTTGGAGCAGGCAAAGCGAAATCCTTTCAGATGATGCTAGGCCAGAGGCTATGCTCCAGGGCATACCTTCTGTGCTGCCGCTGCTCAGGGTCACTTTGCTCATGAGAGAAATTTAGAGCTAGTCTGGAGTTAAAAAAAGGGGAAATAAAAATAGTGTGACCGTTCAACCTCAGCACCAGCCATTTCACTTTACAAATCTGCTTCTGTTCTGCTGCACTGCTTGCAAACGTAGGCATGCTTCTAGTATGAAGAATTTACCCAGCGACCACTAAACTGGTGTAAGATTGCCTTGATTTTGCATTATAGAAGGTTGGCCCAGCCCCATGGAAAATTTCTACAAACCTTTCAGGGACTCTGTTTTAATTAAGTACATGAAAACTAGATAAACTTGGCTAGTACCTGAAGAATAAGCCCTGAAATTGCTTTGGACCACTGTTACATTGTCGGGGGACATAGCCTCTTCCAAGGCTGCAGCAGGGCTGTTTAATCACCTTCAAGAGGCAACATTTCAAGGGCCTCCTTACTTTGATTCTCCTTCCTTCTGTTCACTACAATGCCTAGCCTATGCTGGAGGCATTCAGCTCGTGAGACGCTTTCATAAATTCCACGGATTTGGGAACTCAAGTCCGGCTAACACTTGTATTCCTTAGGCATTTTTGTGACTGCCACCTACAGTCAGCAGATTAATAATTGCACCATGTATTTAATTCTGACAAAATTCTCTTGTAGACGAGGCTAAAGTTGGCACTTTTCCCAGTGCTCAGTCCTACCAGTTTAGAGTTCTGAAATGGTCATCTCCTTCCATATTTTATAATTTCTTTTTAATCATTAGATGCTACTGTTCTAAATCCCATATTCCTTTCTTTTAGGAACTCATTATTTTCGGGGTTTTAACAACAACAGCCAGCCTTGGTGCAACTGGAACGGACGTAGAAAACACGGGTTAAAACCAATCAACCCTACAGAAGAGGGACTAGCGAGCATTCACAGTGTCCTGTTCCGCAAAGACCCTTTTCTCTGGAGAGCTGCCCTACTCTACTACACAGTGTATCAGGCCAGCCAAATGTCTTTCAGTCAGCTTTTCCAGGACGTGGGGAAATTTGTCAAGGACCCCAATACCAGGTGGGATTACTGCGTACGAGCCAAGAGAGGGTGGACTGACACATCACAGCCAGGTGGGTTCCCTATTTGTCTTCTCTATTTTTGTACTTCAGGGAGGTTTTCAGAACAGAGCTCCTTCATCATGTCAAACAGTAAAACCTTTGCAAAAGGAAGAAGTGGGTCTCTGCACTTTCTCAAATGAGGCAGCAGGAGGCTGAAAGTGCATGTCCATGAGACTTTCAAAATGAATCAATAATGGATTTTTTTTGTTGGAAGTGGGAATGTAAATTGCAAAACCATGAAAAAGTCCATACTCCCAGTTTGACCTCCTTTCACTTTTATTACAAGAGATGTAATGTTGCTGTGGATATTCACATACACCATCTTCTGTGTTTGATTTCTTTCTGGCTAGTGGGTTTAGCCTTCTAGTTACATTTGGGGAAGGTTTTCAAAGTCTGGGATATAAATATCTAGTTTTTAAAAATAAAATTGTTCTGCTCATAATGGCTTCTGAGAATATGCTTTGAACAAACCCTGATAGAGTGCAACATATCTTGATTCCTTTTAGGCTGTTTCAATAAGGATCAGGTGTACTTGGATGGCATCCTCCGAATCCTGAGATACAGGGAGTCCATTGATTTCCATCTTCTAACAGCCCTTGGAAAGGTGAGCAGACTCATTCTTAACAAAGGGTACAGTTTTATCATTTCAGCAAGCCTGCCTGTAAAGAGCTGTGAGTCATTGTGCTCAGTTTTACTTTGATCTAGAGATCTCTTTTCTGTACAGCACCTTGTATTATTACACAGTGCAAGTTACAAATATTTTGAGGTTCTAAAAATTTCTATGAACTTTTCCTCATTCCTCACTTATCAGATTAAGATTTTATGGTCGTATTTCTCAGACTTTCCTCCCTTTACAGGGTACTTACCTGACTTGCAGTACAACAGACTGCCTTGTGCAAGCGAGACAGGGGCTAGATAAGGTGGTGGTCCTAGTAGAAAACAAAATAAACCATTTGATGCTAACGCATCCCCCTCCACCACAAAGAGTTTTTAATTTCAAATATCTGTCACTGATGGCACCTCTGATGTTTTCAAATAACGGTTTGGGTTTTTTTCCCTAGAAAATATGGTATTTCTACATTCACAGAACATATTTTATGCCCATTCTAATTGTCACTGCTTTTTTGTTCTAAAATCGTTACTAAAAAGGTGCAGGGTCTGGAGCACATGTCGTACGAGGTGCAGCTGAGGGAACTGGGGTTGTTTAGTCTGAAGAGGAGGCTGAGGGGAGACCTTATCACCCTCTACAGCTCCCCGAGAGGAGGGTGCAGAGAGCTGGGGATGAGTCTCTTGAACCAAGGAACAAGTGACAGGACAAGAAGGAATGGCCTCAAGCTGCGCCAGGGAAGGTTTAGACTAGATGTCAAGAAGCATTTCTTTCCAGAAGGGGTTGTTGGGCGTTGGAATGGGCTGCCCAGGGTGGTGGTGGAGTCCCCATCCCTGGAGGGGTTTAAGAGTCGGGTCGACATAATGCTGAGGGATATGGTGTCATTGGGAACTGTCAGTGTGAGGTTAATGGTTGGACTGGATGATCTTCAAGGTCCTTTCCAACCTAGATGATTCTGTGAAGGGCAAAAAAATTTGTCACACTTCCTTAACCAAATCCTTGGATTGCTAAGTTTCCACAGTTCATACTCACATAAACCAGGATCCAAATTGATGTTAGGCTTGCATTTAGAGCACTTCTGCCCCTTGGCAGTCATGAGCGATAAAGGGAATTGGCATATTATGATAGAGGGTTTTGGTCCACATTTAAGAAGTTTTGCCTTTGGTGTCAGAAACATCTGTACTGGTGAGCAGAGCTATTTAGGTAACTGAACCAAATTAGGAAGCTCTGAAAATAAAATCACACTGTTAAATAAGTCTCTGCAACCTTATTCTCTGAAAGTTCCTTTTCCTTTAAGCCTGCTTAACTCCACACAGCCTCTGCCTGCTAAACTACTGAACACATACGGTTCCTGTGCGGCTTTATCCCCTTCTATCTTAAGGGAATCTGCAGGATTATCAAGCCACTTCAGAAACATAATAAGTCATTTCTCATATAATTAGAGATTCCACTATAATCCATATGGCAATGCATCCATATTAAGGGTCTACAACCAGTTTAATTCTAGCAGTATGATAATTTATAAATGCTTGACTTTACAACTTCTAAAATCAAGGGATCTTAAAGTCTACTCTGAATGTTTTTGTTGCACGCATCTTCTGCAATCAAACTGGAATAAGAGCAGTGTATAAGAGCAGTGCCTGCTTTCAGCATCACAAATTGGTTGAGGTCTTCAGGGATCTCTCAAGATCATTTAGTCCAACACCCATGCTTAAGGAGGGTCAGCTAGAGCAGGTTACCCAGGACAATGTCCTATTGGGCTTTGAATATCCCCACTGATGGAGACTCCACAATCTCTCTGGGCAGGCTGTGCCCGTGTTTTACCACTCTCACTATAAAAATGTTTTTTGTGAAAAACAAGTTCTGGGAGTGTAGAGAAATGTGAAACTTGCACTGAGGTCTAGCCTATGGTTATTACAAGTTTATCAGCACTCTAAAGAGTGATTTGTTTGTTTGTTTAGGGTGGAATAGGAAGATCAGGTTGTTCCAAAGGGTGTATTAAGGTCAGCTGGCGTGTCTTCCAGGTTAGAAGAAAACACACAGAATTTAAACGTAGGGGAGCCCAGCATTTTGTGGGAAAATTTTCATTGCCTTTTGAAGGTTCTCAGTGTTGTATTGTAACATTTGAGCTCATCTTTCTCAGCATATTCAAAACATGCCCATCACCTTGGGCATAATTTCATTGCAAATACAATAAAGGTATGAACATAATAGGAAATGAAAACAGTCAACTATATTGCTGACAACAAATAGCTTCTGTGCTTTAGTAGATAGTTAACACAGTTGTAAGACCAGACCACTGCTTTCTCAAGTGAACGTATTTCAGACAGAGCCATGCTGAGGTTTCTGTGTCTTCTGTTCTCATCTGAGTGCTAGAGATCTCCCTGGTGGAGGCAGCTGTGCCTTCCTGATGCTTCTCCTGACATTACTTACAGTGTAGAAGGGAGCGGTGTGTGGAAACAGAACACATGCAAGCTGTTCAGTATACCTTGAACCGATTAAAGAAAGAGCTTGAAGCCTCAGAAAAGATGCTTCTTACAAGGAGCAGTTTTATCAGGAAAGAATCGAATATGGGAAGCACTGTAAAACATACATGTACTAATCACATGCAAACGGTATTAAGGAGAAACAGAATGCGGATATTGGGTGCACTTCAGTATGGCATAATTACCAGAGTTTTAAAAAGCAAAAGCAGCAAAATGACACCTACTATTGAGTTTCCCAAGAATGTGAACACATTACAAAGAGCCTAAGGAAGCCTGTTTTAGCCTCAGTCTTTTTTACCTAGTACAGTGATTTTAATTACATGTGGTAATAAGGAAGACAACCAGTTGCCATGGTAGGATGAGGTTATGTTTATGATCTCCTCAGGATGCCAACTTTTGTCATATTTTAGCAATTGCAGGGACTGGGGGAAACCATGCCTCAGATCACAGATACTTGTTTCTTGGATGCAGCAGTACAGAAACCCTTGAACATAAATATGAGGGGGACAAGGTTCTTTTTCTTTCCTTTATTTGGGCAGAAAAGAGGTAGAATTCCAAGTTGGGACAGAAGGGAAGGTCAGTATTTAATTTCATTTGGTGCTGTGTCTCCAGACTTAGAGGAGATGGTATGATTTTGTATAACTCCTACGTTTCTGCTTCTAAATACATTAATCAGGTGTAATGCCACACCATTTTCAAACAGCAGTATCTTAGTGACTTGAGTAAGCCTGAGCATGGGTATATGTTCATTTTTTAAATCAGGATGCATCTTGTCATTGCAGCAAGAAAAGCACATGTGTACTTGGATGCAAATTCATTCTCTTTTCAGACTTTGTTCCCATTATCATCAGCAAGATACACATCTATCAGACTGCCTCTATGGGTCAGGTTTAGCAATCTGGATTAGACCATCCTGTCTTTCCAGAGACCCCTTCCTTGCCCTTTACACATTGGTGAGTCATTCATGCTCACTTTAATCTTTTCTGAAGAGAAACCATCACCTTCTAAGAGGGCAGGCTGTTTCCAGGGAAACCTCACTGAGCAGTGCTTCACTCCTAGGAAGAAACATGGGGTGAAAAGGCTGGAAGGAGCAGGCTCCACTCTCAAGCCACCTGGCACAAACCTGCTGTGAGGAAATAGGATGTGCCAGTTAGTAAGGACAGCCAGGCATTTGGTTTTTGCCAGTACATATGCTTCTGTCTGTAGGGTGCCCCAAACACGCAGCTTGTAGACAAAGCAGCAACCACATAAATTTCATCACACTGGATTGCTGCCCAATGAGTCCTGCTCTGTGCTTGCAGGGCAGCTTATGTAGCTGTTGCACAGTCAAGGCATTCATCCTTTCTGCATCATCATTCACAGCACCTTGAACTACTGTGAGCTCAAGACTTGAAGTCCTAGCTCTTAGAATCATAAGACTATGGAGGAAAATCTCAGCTTTCATTAGAAAAAGAACAGTAGACCCTGTAGTAGCTGGAAAACATTTGGGAGTGTCACACATATACCCAGAAGAATGTGATGCCAAGAGGCAAACCCAGTCTCTGCCCTGCTATTGAATGGGAAAAAATAAAATAAAATTGAGAAGCTTAAGGGTTGCCAATGCTGTAGTTAGTTAGTAGAGGTGCATTTTAATTTGCTTTCCATAAGCACATTTGATTGTGAAAATGAAAACAGCAGAGTTCAGGCCAGCTGGCACCAGGCCTTCCCCCAAGCCAGAGCCTGCCTGCTTCCAGTGCCATACCTGGGCTGCACTCCCTTTCTAGTTCCTCAGTCTTTGGCACAGTTTTTTTTCCATTCTTATGTTAATCTTTCCACCACTTTGAGAAAAGACTCCGAGACTCATGCGTGCTCCACCCTTTCCCTCTGTTCCTGCAGCTGTTGTAGGTCATTCCCATTCAGGTTCCATTGAGTCTGTTCACTCACTCACTCAAAAGCAGAATCGGGAAGTATGGATGCATTTGCTAAAATTACTTTTTTTTGCATCTTCTGCAGAGACACACAATTGTTCATGTTTTCAAAGGATTCTCACAAGCTTTTAAATCCCCCTGCTCTGAAATCTTTTCTCATCTACAAGAGAGGATTTAGATCTGTAGCAGAGAAATAACTGGACTGTGGTGCAAAATTAACTCATGTCCTTCCTTACAGATCTCGTATGAGGATGTGGATCGCCTGAAAGGATTAGCTGTGATTGAGAACATGAGGGTACCACACTTTTTGCAAGACCATGCCCGGTATATGGAACACTTGGAAAAGATCATGGAAGTCAATGAGCTGACCGATGAGGAGCTCCAGGATCTCATAAATTAACAGTATTAGCTCACCATTCACTTATTCTGTGAAGATGTAGAACTGGACTTCCCAGAGCTTGTGAAAATGGAATTATGAGAGGTGGAGTGGGAGGGAAGGGTGGCCAGAATACATGGAATTCCAAAAAAGCCTCTTTCTGTTCCTTTTGCATTGTGATTGTATACTGATTATTTTTTAAGGGGTTTGTGCATTTTTAAAAATTTGGCTTAGGAATTCCTTTGCAGTGATCTGTCCAACCATGTACTGTGTTTTGTATGCCAGGTATAGCGCATGGCACTGTCTTTTGTAATATACTGCCTTTTCTCACCCAGGTTTAGAGGTGGAGGAAAGGAAAAATAGGAGAAATTCCCCTTTCACTTGTGTTTGCCCTGTCTTTGGTCATAGCTTTCAGGTTTCATGGCAATAGAACTGCTGTAGATTATGCTACATTGCTGTCTGTGTAACTCTTTCCCATTTGGTCTTCATTGCAGTGAAAAAAGAAAGTTTAAAAACACGGTGCACAGAAGCAGGTCTTTGTGCCATAGGATCGAAGCTCTGTAATGTTATAAAAAGTTTGGGTATTTTTACTGGGAGACTTAGCATTTAAAAAAAAAAAACAAAAAGAAAATAAGCATTGCTGTTTTAATGGATGTAAGCAAGTAGCAAAGTTATCCCCCTTTATCCCCTCAAAAATTTACACTGTTCCACAGCTTTATCTGTATAGGACATGTTTTGGGAAGCTGAGTTCTGGAAAGGGTCTCCCTCCTTTGAGGACCAGCATAGCATATCTAGGAAGTTCAACATGGCAGTGTTTTGGAAGAAGGATTGGGCAGAACTGTGATTTCATGACTTACGTATTTTAAATACATTCAGGAACACAGGGACATGATTCAGTACAGCAGGCAATACCCAATCTTCTCTGGGTCACCTGAGCCTACAGAGGGTCAAGTCAATTTTTGGAGCAGTACCTCCATGCTGCAGCAAGCTTGAGCTTGCAGAGCTCACAGAAGAAACAAGATGTGAATGGGGGGCGCGGGGAAAGAAGACTCACAAGTGCCCTATTCCTGTGTTCCAGCAGAAGTGCTACACCACTCTGAAGCAACCTTACCTCTGTTTTAACTGCTGGTGCTATGTCCCGAACCAAGAAGAGAAATGACCTTACTGTAAGGCACAGCTCACCACATGATAAATACCTTAGATGGCTCAAGGAAGACTTAACTACATAAGCTACATATTCTGATTCCAGAGTATTATGGAATTATCAAGGCAAATTTTGTACCTATAAGTATTCTGACATTTTCTGGGGTTTTGTTTTAGTAGATGGCATTTTATCAGGGCTCCTCTGAACTCCTGGGAAGCAGCTATGGTAGGAGAGGCTGGGCAGGAACTAGGGACATCTTTGGACAGGGCTTCTGCCATTTCTTCCTCTTCTGCCTTGGCCCACTGGTAACAAGCCTGGCATTGGATAAGGCGGATAGAGGGAGCCAAGGTTTCCTCTGCACCACATTTGCATGGACCCGAGCCCTGGTATGCCTCCCTCCCTGCTTATCGTGTTCTTGAATGAAATGGATGGAAAAACCCTCCCACCTTATTTTACACCCAGGGCATTACCAGCCATGACAGCAAAATCATGAGAACACATTTTCTGATGCACAGGAAAATCTGTGAGGGAAAGCTCTCAGTTGGCTACGAGGTCTGAAGGGTTTTGAATAATCCCATAAAAGCAGCTGCCTTTTTTGCAGGTGCATTTGCAGCAGCTGGCTGGCTCACTGCTTCGAAAAAGAAAATGCACTCAACAAGCATAAATTTACTAAATTTGGTTATTTTCAAAGCAGGGACCAAGAACTGCTTGCAGCAGCCTTAATTTTGTATTGTCAGTATTGTTCACGAGCTGAAAGCCTTTCAGCCTCTGTATGCTGAAATAAAAGCCCTCTTTCTCTCCTTGTCCCCTTCAGGCTGTCTAGTTTGATCACTGGTGAATTTGCCTGCCCAGCTTTGGTTTTTTGCTGTGCTGAGGAGACACGGTGTTGCAGCAGCCTGACAGGAACTATTTGCATCACCGCACCCACATGCTCCAGGCTTTGGCTCCTTTGCCAGAAGCAGCAAGAAAGACACACATGACTGAGGCTGAGTCAAACATCACAGTCAAAAGCTCTCTTTGGAGTAAATCGGGCAGAGATTGTTCGAGCTATATTGTGAAAGAATCTGGCTCATTTTGCCGGCTCAGGGGCATGAGAAAGGGCCAGTCCTGTATGAAAGGGACAATTCTGAACTGATTTTCTTCTTATAGGAGCGATCCTTGACTTCCTCCAGTGACTTCTACATAATCAAAGTGCTCTTCCTCCTCCCCCAGCAGTAATGTTTTATAATCTAAGTGTGTGTACATAATGTGTTCTTGAAACCAGGAGGCTATGCTAGTCACCCTGCCTTTGCCGCAAAATACCATGCCTACAGCCCTTCGTCCAACAGCCAGCTGACTCTGTTACCACTCTGTAGCCCTAAACACTACTACAGGCCTTTTTGCTTTACACAAAGACCCTCATCACATTTTTGTCAAAGTAGTAGGTGCCATCAAACTTTTGTTCTTTGTTATGCCAGAAATAGATTTGCAAGGTTGGAGTCTGGAAGTGGTCAGTATCAAAGTAACACTGTAGCAATGGATGAAGCTGTCAACTTCTGTTTTCAGCATCAGATTTGTCCTTCCTCCTTTGTAAAAGTGTTTCAAATTTTGAAGTGTAGCTTTTGTAAATATTCCTGATTTTTTTATTTTTTTTTTCCCACTGTGAAGAGTCTGGTTACTAAGTCGTGATACTGAAGTTCTGTTATAAAGCATACGACAGCAGTCCACGTGAGCTCATGTCACTTTACAGTTTCACGATGTCAGTGATGTGATGACAGCCTTTCCCAGCAGTCTGTCTCATTTGCTTTGCTGTGTATCCACATCTTGCTACTTCTACGTTATTCCTATACAGAAACCTGGTCAACATTGGAGAAGCTTCCCAGTCTCACCAGACCAATCTTGAAAGGCATTTTATACAACTTTTACAAATAAAGATAAATGAAAGAATGACAGAGACGAGAGTACTGAAGTGTTATATCATACCGTGTGAGAGCATTACTCTCTTTCAGTGGCATTAGCTCTGCAGCTAGTTGGACATCCCAAGCTGTGCGTGGAAAAGATGGCTTTCTGATCACAGTTTTGAAAAAGTTGGGGTTGGAGTCATGAAAGGTTCTGCTGAAGCCTTACATTGGGTACAGCTCCCTCTGCTCTGTCAGAAGGCCTGGCTGCTCACAGGGAAATTACACACTCTCCCTTTTTCCAAGATATGCTCTGAGGCATCATCAGAGCCACTTTGCTGTGATGCGTTTCTCAGCACCATCCATGCAGGAAATGGTAACTCCAAATGCTCTGCTTTAACACTTGGATCTGCCCCCCCCCCCGTTTCATTTCAGGGCTTTGTGTCCCCTCTCACATTATGAAACATGCTTGCTTATCTTCAGGGAGTCCTGTCAGCTCCTTATGGATAAACTCCCTCACGTATAAGTAAGGATAACATTTAAGGGTTGTGGGTTCTTTTTAACAGAAATACTTTAAAAGTCACTAGCTGATGTGCCTTGCGAGATAGCTAAATATTATTGCATTACATTTGCCCTCCCTTGTTAGCCAGTTTGGAAAACGCAGCCTGAAATCTCCTGCCACCACAGGCTCCCAAATCACCACTGCTGTCTCTCACCCAGTGCATCCCAGAGACCCCCTTCTACAGTGTCAACAGCATGAAACAACGCTCGAGCCTTGTATTCCAGTACTGAATAAATTTCCCATTTGTTACAGGCGATCTGCAGGAGTACTGAACTCTGAAATCCTTTTTCCAGCACTCAGGTGCCAGCCTTGTGAAGCTGGATGCCCTGCAAGCAGATTGAGGAGCAATTCCAGCACCGAGGGTCTCAGTGATGCTCCTGCCTGCCTGGTGAGGAGGGAAAGCTGGAAATCCTGTATGCTGGAAACCAGATGGAAGTCTGACAACACACGAGTCAGGGTGGAAGTTGAAAGAGGCACTGTCTAAGCCAAGAGAAAAGCAAAAGGAAACAGCTAAAACAATAGGGGTTTTTTTTAAGGAAGTGTTCATTTAAAAGTGTTCTAAATTTCATAATATATTAGCACCAAATTAAGAAGTTGAATTCTTTTCAGTATGCAGTTTAAAATGAGATTGTGTATCTTTAATATACACAGGGGAGAACATAGTTTGGCTTTGCTGAACAATTACAGTTTTCACAACTGTAAGTCTATATTAAATTAAATCCAGAAAATTTGGATATTTCATTTTAAACACATTCATTTACTTTGATTCAATAATAAAAAGATGCTACCAGAATTACCTCTCAAGGCACAGCCGTACCCTTCCCATTAAAGTTGTCTAAATAAATTTCTTATGGTGCTGCTGAAATATTTTGTATCTTCCTCAATCGCATAGTGCCTCTGAGACACAGCTCCATTTCCTAAAGTGTCTATGGACACACAGGGCAAAGTACAGTGTTATTTCAGCTCTGTAGATGATAAAGAAAGCAAGGCTGAAGTTACAACTATGCTGGCTAGTGTACAAAGCAGAAAAGAATGTGGATGGAGACCACACAGCCAGGGCTTATGTGAGTGAGTGGGGTTGGGTTGGACAGATGTGGTTTTAAAGAGAAAAATTTCCCCAAGAAAACTTGGTGGTGGGAGAAAGGTGACTGGTGACACAGGAGCGGCTGCCTCCAGGCCACGGTACCCTTCTCGTGGTGCAGTGTCAGAGCAGGGTGGGCACATTCCCACAGGGACCCTCTCCGCTGGCCTGTGCGATGCTGGGGGGATTTGGAGGAGAAAGAGAGCACACGCCAACACCAGTCCCCCTGCACAGTTCATTGGATATAGCAGAGCTGGGCTCACGTTCAGGTCCTGTCCCAGCAGCACCCTGAAAATTGTGCTTGGGGCTCTCCTGTACGTACATCAGGGTCCAATTTCCATCTCATGCCACGTCACAACAAGAGATTGGTCAGGATGTCTCTTCCAGCTTATTTTCTGTGTTTCGTGCTTGGATTTTTGTCTTGGTCTCTAGCACTCATCCTTCAAGCTGTGTTTATTTAATCACACTCCTTCACTTTCCATTTTATCTCAAGAATACCTTCACTATCACATCATCCATCTCTGAACCTAGGAAGTAAGTCAATTCACTCCCACCCATCAAAAAAATACATATGTCATCTACGAGTCAAACTTCTCCCTCCTCTTCCCCTAGCAATATTTTAAAGATGAGGTCCCTTGTATTTCTGATCTTCCTTTACAGCTTTCAGAAAAGAAGCTTTTCCAGGTTTGGGCAAGATATGTCACCAGACACACAGGACCTTGTGGAGAAGCCTCCAGCTGTGATTCACTTCTCCTTCTGGTCTCCCATCTCCATCTTTCTTCCTTTTCCAGCTCCTCTCTGCCCCACACTCCTCTAGCTCCCATAATCCTTGCTCAGGTATTTCTTCCCCCTTTTCCATAGGACACTCCATGTTGCAGCTATGTCCTAGATGTGCGTCACTTCAGGGAGCCCCCGTGCCATTCCTGCCTGTCCCCCCACTCCCCATGTGTTTGACATCTCTCTCACATCCCCTTCCCCTCCTCTGACTCTTTGAGGCTCCTTCATGGCCTCGCCTGTCCCAAAAGCAAAAGAAATATTTTTCCTTCTCTTTTAAAGTGAAAAATGTGGTTAAGTGCAGCTCCCTGCCTGTTACATCGCTGCTGCAGATAGAAAGGAGCAACAGCAGGTCTCCAGCCTGGTGGGACAGGCTTATTTCTAAGCATAAAGCAATGCATGATGCTAGAAGCAGACATACTACTCCCTCCATCCCAGAGGTGACACACAGGGAAAAGCATGGCACGTATCAGCCCTTTGGGTCTCCAGATATGCTCCATACAGCCCCCCAGGCATGGGGAGGAAACCAAGCACAAGCACTTCCACTCCGGCATCTTGCTGACCCAAGGGAGCACTGGTGTGGAGGAGGACAGGGTGAGAAGGCCCTTTAAAGCAGCTGGGGAAACCTCACATGCAAAGGGGACAGGTAGCATGACCACAAAATTACTAGGGAAATGAATAGTCCTAGAGTTGAAAGAATCAGGTTAAGTTTCCCCCAAATGAGAGTAAGAAAGAGTGCCCAGCCAGGCACATACTGTGAGTGACCTTCATGGGAGCAAGCCAGTAACCTCAAACAGTAAGAGAAGGGAAACATAAAGTAACCACCCAGCTGCAAGGCAGCCCCTCTTGGCTACCAAGCGTGCCAGGGGCTGGAGGACGTCTGAAAAAGGAACAGTTTCCTTGAAGGCCACTCCAAAAACTGGTGGGCAAGTGCTCTGAGAGCTCGGTGCTGGTGCTCCTTGTGTTATCTCTTCACACAAAGTGTAACCAGTATAGCAAGTCAGGTCTGTGCACATTCCATTTTTTTTTTTTTTTTTTAAACAAGGCCTGTTCTTTCACACAACTGATAAAGAAAGACCTTTGGACATCCCTCAGGCTGGGAATGTCTCATCACACAGGGTTCCCAGATGACAAGAAGGATGGGTCATCCAAGGGTCACCTAGCCACATGTTTCCTAAGTGTACTGGTAACCTGTGGGCACTCTGGACTAAGTCCTACTTTGATTCTATGCAGGAGCTTTTTTACTTCCAGATATGGAGGTCAAAATGACTTAAGACTTAAAAACATGAAAAATTTTTAAAAATCTCATAACCTGATGATGAAATGGTCTGCTTGAATATGCATGTGCCTTTATACTATATATTGTCCCATATACATGTGGCCTCTCCTAAGAGGCACGGGATCACAGAGTTGCAGCCTCCTGACATTACTTATAACCAAAGCAGTAACCGGCCAAGGCAGAGGCAGCCAAGGGCTCCGTCTGCCATTGCGGTCACGTCCTGCCCTCGCGTCGTGGGACACAGCCCAGGGCTGCTGAGTGGCTGCAGTGAGAGCTGTGCAGGCCACTGGCAAGGCGCTTCAGTCACACCCCCACAGCACCCGAGTCACAAGGGTCGCTGCTGCACCTCTTCTGAGGATGAAAAAAGCTGCTGCACGCCATGTTTCCCACAAGAACTCTGCTTCACAGTCAGTATGACTCCTTGCACGGGGGAAAACTTTGCGTTTTGCTTTGGAAAAACAAATGAACACGAGTCTTCTAAGAAGCTTTTCCCATCTAGAAACTCTGTATGAAAGTGTGAAATCTGGAAAGTGGAAGGCCAGGAAATGCCTGTGTGGTTTTGCCTTGCTTTCTGCAGCTAAGGAAAAGCTCATAATTTAAATTTGGGACATTTCCACCCAACTTCTGAGTGCTTGAATTTATGACCTGAAGTGCCCCCAGGGAGGGAACAGCAGCAGCTGCCCTGAGAGCTCTGCTTCCCATCATGTCCAACTCCTGCCTGTGGCCAGCATGCTCGCTCCAGACACCAGTTTTAAAACCAAAAATCAACTCATTCTCAAAAAAAAGGCATTTAGCTGCCCAGGAAAACCTTGAAATCCCCTAGGCTGACCCTTTTCTGTCCTTTCCTAGGAATGCTGAGCACTGATTCCCACGAGGGCTCGAGTGCCAAGACCAAGGCTGGTTACCTTGTGTGATCAAGCTTTCACCCCTGCTGCACCAGAATTTATTCAACCTGCTGCTGCCATGACCTGGTTCTTGGAAGTTCATTTCCAGGACAGTTATTTGATTGCATATGCTTCTCAGAGGTTTTTAGCAGCTCTCCAAATTATTCCTCAGGGTTTTTTCAGACGTTTTGCAGCACTGCTTGATGCAACAACACAGCAAAGTCAGGTGACCAAATGGATATTTGCCAAATAAATCCTCCTAAAAAGCCTAGAGGATGAAGCAGAGGCTCTGCTCTGAAGCAAACAGGTCAGAGCAAATAGGAAAGGAGAATAATTTGACTGTGAATATTTTAAAAGCTTTCACCACAGGGAGCAAAGAGGAGAGGCCAAACACCAGCCATGCCTCCCTCAGCTTCGGCAAGCAGGGCGCTGCTTTAAGCTCTTACTCCAGCAGCTGCTAAAATGTAGAAACAACGTGAAAACCCAACTGTGCCCCACTAGGAGCCACCTCTCCTCTCAGAGGCAGCCAGGAAGAGGACAGAACAGAGCTCCCACTGCAGGGTCTCACCAGCCACAGCCCCCGCAGGGACCACGGGCTGCCCAGCAGCCTTCACCATGTCACCGGGCCAGGGGAGGTCTGAGGCTGACGTGTCAGGGGAGATAAGAGGCAGCACTTAGCTGTAAGAAGGCAGCCAGGCTCCACGTGCAGTGGGCAGGGAAGAGCTCCACAACTCTTTGCTGTGCACAGGTCAGCTGAATTGCCTTCCAGAAGTGACGATACTTCAGAAAAAATAAACCTGGACCAAATCAGTCTGTAGCTGTTGGTGACATTACTTACAAACGCAGAACTCAGCCTCACAAAATTTGGGCTCCTGAGGGGAGCCCAGAGCATGCAAGGTGTGGAGCCAGTATCAGGCCTTTTGCATGAAAGGCTCACTGTTGCTGCGCTACCTCCATCATTACCACCTCCCTTGGTGCTACCAGGGCAATACAGCTACAGAAAGCTGGGCTAGCCTAACTTCTATTATAAGTATCTTGAAATAAAATTACTTTTCAGGTTTGGTCCCACAGTTGCAGGAGGAAGCTGTCCGCTACTTTGCCTTCTGAACCACCGTAACATGACAAATGCTTCTGGGAACTCAAAAAATCTATCAGGCTCACAACCACCGCCTCATCCTCACACACAAAAAGCAAAGCAAGCTTTTTAAAACCAGTGAAACCAGCAAGGCAGCTGATTCCCAACATGAAGTAACCAGGCATGTACCTTGTACCGATGCTCCATGCATGGCACAGCTCCACCTGTAGCTATCAAACTCCTCTATCCTCCTCCTTCTGACTCTATAGGACCCATCTTACTCCAAGGCATCTTTCTGTTCACCAAATAATCACCTTTCCAGAGCTCCCTGCTTCCTCCCAGCAGGCTGGGCTGAGCAACCTCTGGGCTAGAGACCAGCCCCATTAACCTTCCCCACAGCTCACACATGGGTTAGGGGAGCAGCTCAGCTCATTTCCCCCTCTGGCAGCTCATGCTAATAGGCAACTCATCAGGGCCTGTCCTGCAACTGCGAGTGCTGCTGCTCGCAGACCACCACCCGCACAGGAGACTGCAGATGCTTCTTTAGGCCTTGGTGCCTCTGCATTTATTTACACTTGTAGCAGATTAAATAGGATCTGGCCCTTCCAAGTTTTATTTCTAGAGCTATAAAGTAATTTCAGCATCCAAACATAATTATAGCAGTGAAACACTACCAAACACTAATTGGTACAAGTGAGTGAGTGTGTTCTTGGCAATTCTACTGCCGCTCGCCTCACTTGATATTTGTTTGACTAAGGCAACTCTATTGTATCCTCACCTATAGTGTGCAGAGGTCTAGTGAGAGCTGCTTGGGGAATCTGGTGCTGCTCAAATTAAGGGGGGCAGCAAAACTGCCCTAGGTAGAAAAGGTCAAAGTAACAGCAAGGATCTGGAATGAAAGTTGGAGCCAAGCTCTCCTGCTGGCTTCTTTAATGACCAGGGGTAAATGCCTGCACCTCCCATTTTTAAAAGGGAATGCTGAGCAACTAAATACACATTTTTGGTCTGATGCTCTGAACTCTTAGTCATTCAGTTAACCTCTTGAAATGTCAGTGAAACCTCCCTCAGCCTGAGAGTCACACCCATCCTATTTCACCTTCCGCCAGGTTTAGTTTTGCCTATAATCAGAAAACCTGTTTGAAATACTCAACTGTGTGTGCTTGCATGTGAATTTAATCAGTTGTTGCTACCTGAAATGAGATGATATTTCAGAAAGTTAAGGAACATGCTACAAGAATATGATACTGTTTTGCTCTAAACCCCTCTGTTACACGACCTCCTCTGGTGTGGCATTGCTGTCAGGAGTCATTTTCCCTTTATAGTTCAATGAGTTGTGCCAGAGAGCTTTCCTTTCCACTCAGCAGCAAACTGTGTGGTCATCTGCAGCCTGGAGCAGAAGGCGCTGAGCTAGTGGGAAGCTCAGTATCTTTCATACTCAAAATTGCTTTTTCCAGTCCTTGTATGCTTCCTTTCTAGGTCACTGTTTATTAATCGCTACTTGAAAAATCTTATGTAGGTGGCAAATTTAATGCTCCATCCCTGGCTCTGTCATGGCAGCTTGCTGACTGAAGTCCTCCCCACCCAGGATACGCAGAGAAACAAACCTCCTTAGAAGCTGACCCCATCCCTGCGATATGCACCATGACCACACACTATCCAGACTCCCTGTTGCGGTGCCTGGATCAGGCTCATGCAGCAACAAAGCTTAGGAAAGTGAGGTAAACTGGGTGGTCTTCCAGAGGGAGAAGTTGAAAACCCCTAAAAAATCAAGAGGCGGAGGTCGGTGCAACACATGTGTCAGGCTTCGCAGTTATCACATGAACGTGGGCTCATCTACAGTCCTCCCACCAACGTGTGTCCTATTTCTCCCTAAGGCAGAGCCCTCCTCAGAACACTGACTCCTAGAGAAAGACTCAGGGCTACATCTCCTCTTTGATGCCACTTGCAGGGCCACAGGACAAAGGCTGTTCCTGTGAGATCCCCAACAGGGAGCAAAGCAAAGGGCACTGGAGAAGTGGACCAGGGTCTGCAGAGGGACAAATTGGTGGTTTCCCAGCTCCTGAAGGCTAGCATGCAGGAAAAATACAACACTAAATGCTGCACACCAAACAAAAAGTCAAATCCAAGCTCCAGGAAGCCCTTCTGGGGCAAAATGCACCCTGCCAGGAACATAAGTAGAGAGGAAGGGAAGGATGACAGGTGCCCACATCCACATGGGGCTGTGGAAGGAACAGGGCCTCTCCAGGCTGAGCCAGAGGGACCACTCAGGCCTCATTTCAGGTCACATAGGGACCAGCTTCGGCAGCCTTTGCAAGTGTTGAGTGGCATTTGCAAATTGCCAAGAATTTCCACGGTGTCTCTCTTTTTGGGGCCTCTCTTACTCCCTCCATTTACAAGGAGGCAAAGGAAAATAACTCTCCCCTCACCCTTGCAGCAAAGCCCTGCTTGGCTGTGTTTTGGCAAAGATCCTGTACAGTATTAAAAGTACACTTTATTTTCTGTACAATTCTCATCCAAATCTCCAGGCATGGAAGTGTCCACTGTGTCCCCAGACAAAAGCTGCAGATTGCTCTGCTGCTGTGAGACACCCCACCACTGTCCAGGAGGGGCACAAAGCCAGGGCCACCAAAATGAAGTGCTGATGCTTTCTAGGTGTGGGGAGGAGAGCGGGAAGGAGGGAGAGGGGATGGCAGTCCTGCTCCGCTGCTGAGCCATGAGCAAAAACAGAGCCTTGGACTGCTCCCTGGGGAGCAGAAGAGGCACCCTCGAGTTCATGTCATCGTTCGTGCTTAGCGTGGGAATCGTTGCGTTCAACTGTCACCCCGTTCCCATTCCGTGTCACCTCCTTCCTGTTCCAGTCCTTTTCCAGGTAAAATTCAGCAAGAACGGGGCAGTGGTCTGAAGCTACCCCACCCCAGGACCAGTTATCAGGGATCCATGGGTTTGTAAGACCTTCTCGCACAACAGCCCAGTGGCCTGCATGAAAAAGAATCACGGAGAAAAAGATAAGTAATATTGCCCAAATCTGACACACGATGCTAACCTAACTAAAGGTTACATGACCTCACTAAAAAGTAACTCTACCTGTGAAAACCTTTTTCAAGCTCCGACTGATCCAGATGTTATCCAGCGACTTGGACCCTTGTGGGTTCTTTGTGCTGATGTTGGTGAAGGTGCTGGAAGGGACCAGGTGATGGAACTTCTCCTTCCTCAGGATGTCGTGGTCGCTGCTGTCCGGAGCCTGGTTAAAATCTCCGAGGATGATCACATCTTTTTCTCCTAGGAAACAGGAAAAGTAGAAAAAAAATGTGAGGAATGGACATCCATTGCTTAAGTACAAGACAGAGAAAGGATAAGTTGGAGGAGGAAGAATACAAATATTGAGTAGCAAAGCTGGATTTACTCTGAAGTCCTAAAAGAAATGATGTTAAAGCATTTTTCACAGGCTATTTATTCATGGCCATTCTCTTTATGACAATAAAAAGCAGCCAGTACACATTTCATGCTTGTTTTTAAATATAATCTCATTTATACTGGCACCCTTTGCTTGTTACTCACTGATAGTGACAAACTCAGTTTCATCCTGCAGTTCTGGTCCTACAGGTTTTTAGAAATCTGTGACTTTGTAAGCTTATTTTTGTCTTTTTCTGTAAGAAACAATATTGGCTTTAACTTGTCCTGACATCATCTTTTTATAGTTTTGCTGTAAGAGACAAGGACACTTTTGTGAGGATCCTGGGAAGACACGGGTTATGCTAGTATATACCAGAGTTCCAAAAGTGCAGGACTTGTTCTAACCCTCTGCATTTAAAAAATGCCAAGGAACAAGCCTGAGGAGCAGCCTGCAAGCCTGATGGTAGAAGATGAGGTCACAAACCACACGGACACTCCCTGACTACAGCAGCTTTCCTTTGCCTGGCCGACTGAAGGGATACTGCTGAACTTGGGATGTCTTAGACCTTGTCTAGGGTTTAATTTTCAAAGAAATAAAGAGAATGGCTTGAAATGCTCATCAAAAAATCCTGTCTTCATATGAATAGAAAATGACCTCAGTGAAAAGAAAATATGAACCCTAATTTCATACCCACAATGTGTGCACTCCTAGCTCCACAGCTGCAGATTAAGACATCCCAGCTGTGCACTGGGTAAGAGTACAACGCACATGTCCCTGTGCCCATCTCAAATCACTGCCAGAAATGTCTGATAAGATAAACTCAAGAATGCTGACAGCTGATCAAAGATGTTGCTGCGTTACAGCTTGGTACTGGAGAAGGAGGAAGATGCTACAATGGCACAAATGAACCAAAAAATTATCCCGAAGATGACATCAGAGAAAGAAACTACGACAGCCTGTAAGCTTTTTGCTTCCTGGGATTGAAGCGTGGGAGGAGACGGGGTGGACAGATCGATTGCTCTACCGTACCTAATGCTCACGGACAAACCTCGCTTTGTGCTGTTGCTGTAGAAGTAGCCAGCCAGGAGAGGGAGTGCAAGTTCAACGACAAAATCTCCGCTCCTGTCTTGCACTGCATGAAAGATGAACTGGGAAAGGGCAGGACAACAGCGAGATCAATAGCCTATGATTTACAAAAACCAATACTTCAAAACATGCTGCTTGCTATGATGCAGTGGGGCGATGAAGAGAGAGTGAAACTGTGGTTTCTCTACCCTTTGCAAGTCACAAATCATATTGGAATTGACATGAGATTTAAATATTATTCTATAAAGTGTTCATGACAGTGGCCTTCCCACCTTTAAAAGAAACAAAAAACCCCAATCTGAACCTGAGCTATTTTAAGCTCCATCAGAACCCAAAAGAAAAATCAGTCCTTGTCTAATGGGACGATAGTGCTTGCTGGGAGCTGGTGGTTTTGCGCACATCTCGTTGCAAAAAACCCAAGATCTCTCACTTTGCAGGATCAGGAAGCCTGAAATGCAACCATGCGATCTCTGTCCTTCAGGACTGATGCTTGCTTAATGGCCCAGGCAAGGACTCGGCTCCTTCCATGCCTTCAGCTTGGCCATATAAGTGGGGCAAGGTCATTACAGAAACCTCTGGAGCGCATCCCTGGAGGGCAATGCTTAAAAATGACAGAGGTAGGGATCTTAACAGCAGTATCCCAGTCCTGCACAAAATCTATTCTATTCTATTCTATTCTATTCTATTCTATTCTATTCTATTCTATTCTATTCTATTCTATTTCTATTCTATTCTATTCTATTCTATTCTATTCTATTCTATTCTATTCTATTCTATTCTATTCTATTCTATTCTATTCTATTCTATCCTATCCTATCCTATCCTATCCTATCCTATCCTATCCTATCCTATCCTATCCTATCCTATCCTATATCCTATCCTATTTCTAGTCTTAGTCTATTCTATAAATACTTGCACTTCTTTCAGCAAGCCTATTTCCCTTACATGAAAAATGTGTGAAAAAAACATACTCACAGGTGAAAATTTTAACTGACTGCTCCGATCTGGACAGTTTAGAAATAGCAGAGGCTAAAAGACCCAGCACCTGGATGTGTGCTCAGGAGGTAAGAAATCAGCCTGTGGCATGCCCAGGAAGGCAATCACTGCATTCTTCACCTGTTTAAACTTTTGCATGCAGAATAACTAAGCATAAAATCACAACTGAGCACAAAATTGACAGACAGGATAGTCTGGGGCATGTCAAAGAAGCTGAAACCCAATTTGCCATTGGGGATGGAAAGGATTGCTTCTGGTCCCCTCTCACAGGAGCTTCTGGGTATCCCCATGACTGAAAATCACTGCAGAAAAGGCTGGGCAGCCCTGCACTAAGCATGAAAAGCAGGCCAACACCAATTTTCTAGATAGCCACCAAATTCATTTCCCCTTGTCCTGGCTCACTCTCAGTGTTGCTCCTGCCTCTGCCAGCTCCTGCGACAGTAATGCCACGCATGGCAGCACACTGGTTTTGTGCTTTGTCTGCCTCCTGAGACCCCAACAAACATCAAGCAGCAGGAGGGAAGAAAGTAAACTTGCCTGCGTCCTCCCAGGTGCGTGACTGCGCTTCATTGGTCGCCCCTCAGCAGAGGCAGGGGGCAGAGCCACCACGCAGCAGCCGCAACTCTCGGGGGCCTCACGGATCAGCCCCAACAGCTCACAGCCAAACTCGGCAAAAGCTCCAGAAGAATTCACGCCCCTGCCCATAACGAGGGATGATCAGATGCAGACACAATGTCCACAGTTACAACCAGATGGGGGGAAAAGAAAATCAAGATAACGATACTGGTGCTGTGATGTGATCTGGAGGGAATGAGAGTTTGAGGTTGGCAGGGCTCGTTCCTCCTTCTCCTCAGGACTGAGCAGAAAGTGCTCCCTTACCAACCCACCTTCTGCTTCAGAGGGCTCTCCCATAGACTACACTGTCCCACAAGGACCCAGACCCTCCATCTGGTGGGATGTGGTGGCATACAGCCTGCCACAGACAGCCGCGTGTCCCGGTACCTCTCAGGGTGCTCCCACGCACATTGGTCTCAAAGCAACCCTGCCTTGTCAAGGGAGAACTGTTTAGGCGAAGAAGAAGTCCAGGCTTTTTGCAAATGCATCTTCAAATTCACTGAAGCACCAGCGACTTTTAGCAGTGTCTGCGGGTGGCTCTCAGCCAGCAAAGCAAAGTGCTGCCTTAACTCAGCCCTGTGCTGCAGAGGCTGAGCACTGGGGTGCAACGTGATCAGCTGAGGGACTTTCAGTGCCTGCAGAAAGTCTGCAGTGTTGAAATCTGCTTTCATGCAGGAACCGGGAAGCCCTCCTTTGCTTGGTGGCAGTCCGAAGAGACATCAGTAGAACACTCTCCCTGGCTCCCATGCCCTGAATGGGTCCCCTCATGAACTAACAGACCCTTAAACTCCCAAATCTTTCTGGGAGAGAGTGAGAAGCAGATGATAAGAAGGATGTGGTGGTACATCAGCTACTAAGAGGCTCCCGACCACCTCTCAGAGGTCTTCTAAGCCTAGTGCCCGATGCACAGGTAACACATGGAGTATGGCCAAGCCAGATGGGAGAAGATGACTAAGCCAACACCCTGGTTCCTGGGTCTAAGCACTACCAGCATGTCCAGAATAGCATCTGTGTGCTGCCTATGGTCACTACACTGAAGACAAACCGGTGGAGTTCTTGAGAGAAGGCAGAAGGGCCTCTGCAAAGAGTAGCTATGAACAGCCAAGAGCCACCGCATCTCTCCAGTACTGCTGAAGGGAAAGAAAGAATGGAAAAAAGGCACCAGGACCCACTGGTCTAATGGCACAAATACAGAGACACTAGTGCTCTGCATTACAGGAGACTGTGGATGGTAACCAAATTTCCTCAGATGCTCACATATCTTTCATTCTTATGAAGAGGCAACAGAGTAGGCGTCTGTTAGCAACATGTGAGGAGAAATTCAAATTTACTACAGTACTCACAGGCAAATCAGTTCTTATTACCAGTATTTTATGGATTGATTTGGAAGAAATTGAAGGATGGTGGTAATTTTAAGCATGACATTCATTTTGGCAGGGTATTCAGTACTTCAAAGCTACACATGTGTACTACCATTTGTTGAGGAAACAAGACCTGCATCCCATTAATTTAGAGGAATCTGAATCTCTTCTTTTGTGAAAAACTAAGCCAAGAATAAGCATGCTCCAGTAACATGCCCACCCTATGAAAATATAAACATGAAATAAAGAGAAGCCCTAACACCGACAGTCTAAATTTAGATGCAGTGGAAATGCAACTCAATAGACTTTGGAAGAGCTACACATTTATCTGTGTCTCGGTTCAGCCTTTGGGGATTAAACAAATTATCCTTTTGTTTACCTTCATCCCTTCCAATTTCAAGGTACGTGGACAAGTACTTAAATCAGTAGCACTTAAAAATAGCTCTGACTTCTTGCAGTTCAAAAGGAAAAAGAATAGAACACGCATAAAAATTGCAAATATCTCACGTTATAGAAGAGGGGTATTAATGCTTCCAAGTGAACAACCTTGCTAAACTGGGCCAAGCTGAAAATCATCATGCGTATGATCTTGTAACCCTTTGGCATCTTTGTTAAGCGGTAAACAAAGGGCTAGATTTTTCTATTCCTACAACAAGATCAGCAACATTTAGAATCTGAAACGTCCTGTTCTGCTTTGTAGGAAATCGAATTTAATCTGCAAGCACCAAAGTAAGGAGCAAATTCTCAGAAATGAGGTAAAGAAATTCAGCTGGCTATTACATTGCTCAAGTTCAGATCCAAATTCGGGTGTCCCCTCATCCTGGTGTAAAACCAGAGCAACTTCTTTGGAATCAACAAAATTATCCTGCCTATTGCACTCAGGTACCAAAGCAGGAGTTGGTCTCTTTTCTCATTAGCATCCATCTCCTGATTTGCATTGGGTTTTCCAATGTGCTTACAATTACCTAAAACCCAAATATATAGAACATATTTCTTTTGGAAAAAGAGCCATTAAGCTTTTTTCTGATATCAGGTAGGTGTCATTTCCACAGAGTACTTACAATAAGGTCTTAACCCTGATGTCTGTTCTTTTTATTTTTTTTGCCTAAACTTGCTCTTACACTAGCATAAAATCAGAAGGAACTTCATTTGAAAAAACAAAAGCTGGTAGGATCCCCTGTGTTACTTGTGTTAATTAGGAGAGGCTATAAGACAATGAGCAGGGGAAAAGCACCTTTCCCATGCTATGGATCACTCAAATTCAAATACCAGTAACAACAGTGCAAAGCTAATGAGGATATTTGTGAAACCTGCACTGAGACAGATTTTATTTTTTTTTTAAATTCCTTTTGATTAGATATGATGGCCAGCGTGCATGTGATAGCTGGCAGGAAAAAAATGCTATACCTTTCAGAGTCTCCTGCAAAGTCTGTGCAAAGGCTGCCAGTTTGTGGCTGTCGTGGTTCTTCCCGGTATTCTCTCCTGCCGAGGGTGGCAAGGCCAGATGAAGGTTAACCAACATTAGATCGTTCATCCCAACCTGGGGGAGGAAGGAGAAGAAATTGGTGCCAGGCAGATAGGACACAGGAGGTCACAAAGCAAAACCACGTGCCTGTTCCCAGTACTTCTGGTAGTAAATCTGTGTGACTAGGCTTCGCTTCCTTATCTGTGTGGTGTGTTTTGGTTGGTCTTGTTTCTGGGAGGAAGAGGGGGAAGGTGTTTTGCTCTGTTTGCAATAACCTGACACCCTTTCAGTTCTGGGGAAACTGGTCTGCATAAGCAAACAGCTTCTTTCCACCATGGTTGCAGAAAGAAGCTGGCTGTTTATGAAAATCAGCTCACGCAAAACCAGTTGTTAATAAGCTACAAATAATGTCGTGGTCACTACACGGGCTAATTATGACTCTTGTGACTAGCTCTGGCCCGTCACAGAGACTAACCAAGAAACTTAATGTACCTTGAAAGGGACTGTTGGCTCCCTGCAACCTTCTGCTTATCTTCTGGCACTCACTTTGTCATGTAGCACGAGTAATACTTGCTCCTAATATTGACCTGTTTACATTATTAATTGATTAATATTAATTCTAAATAATAATTTATCCATAATTATATTACTAATGCTTCTCTCAAAGCATTACCAAAGATGTCAAGTTCCCCAAATTGGACCCCTGCATCACACCCAGTGTGGAGAAGGGGGCTGTATGCTCACTCAAGCATATGTACAAGAATTTTCCAAAATGCATGATGTTCTTTCAGATGGGTTCAGCCTAGTGAAAAAGATTTAAAATGGAAACTCTGCAGTACGCCAGCAACATATGAGAGATCATCCATCCCTCAGGAGCACTGTGCCTTCCTTATTTATATATATCCACTTTGACTACCCTCTCCACTCACAATTTGGGGCACTGACAAGAATCGCAGCCCTGTGGCTGGCTGCTGCTGGATACGTACCCTGTTATTGCTGTGTTAATTTGGTAAAGGTAGAACAAGGTGACTGGTGACTTCTGTCACTCTCTGAGGCTGTGGATGCTACCGAAGATCTACCAACTCTCATGTGCCTGAATGTTGCCTTGTGGCAGGGTCTGCTCCCACAGAAGCTAAGGAAAGGACTCATTCTGGTGATCTGCCATATCCATAAAGACCCTATATGGGTGTGTCTCATGGCCTTGACCTATAATCAAGCCATGAGACAGTGCTGAAGTGACGAGATGGATTAGAGACTCATGCAAAGTTTAATCTGCTAGAAGACTGTGTGTCTTTTCAGCTTCTTACCCCATTTTTTAATAAAATCTCAATTCTGCAAGGGTCAGTTGGTGCAACAGCAGTTACCTTGAAATGTGCAAGATACGGGTGAGGATATGAGTGCTTCCCATTGCCATTGGTCTGTGCACACTCCTGAGACAAAGCATCTTTCAGTTCAATGCCAGCTGTTGTATCCCAGAGGAAGCCAGAATATTCAACTCCCTGGAGTTTAAAAGAAAAAAAAAAAAAACAAACAAACAGAAAAGAGCTTATAGTAAGAAGGTAAAACCAAAGCATTCTGTCCAAATTCAGCCCCCTAGGTGAAATTTTCACCTGCAATTTTCAGTACCACTGTTGGGAGTGGCAGTGGTAAACATCACTTCCAAAACATGCAGAGGCAGTAAAAGATGATGCAATTTTATATCTTGGCTTGGCGCCTGCTGAGGGCAGGATGCCCAACTCGCTGTGCACAAGCATAAATGAGAAACAGCATCCTAGGCTATCAGATGGAGATAAAGAAACAGGTAGAAATGCTTCTTTATCCCACCCCCCTCAAAAGCCCTACCAGATGGGGGAGGAATGCTCCCTGGGAAGCCCAACTGAAAACTGAGCGTGCCAATCTGAAACACATATTGTTTGGCTACTCGCAGCCCCTCACACCTCTACACTGGCTATCGGACACCCAGGTAGCCTTAGCACTGCTCAATCCAGTCAAGGATTTAATAAGCCATTCTACTGTATACAGGTAGAGCGTGTTCAGGACCACTGCAGGGGTGAAAGGTAAAGATGCTGCCTCACCTGCACCTCCTAGTCCAGGCAAGACATCGGATTCTTCTGAGCATGGTGAGCAACAAGGTAGTTCATTATCCCTAGGACTGTTTGTCTAACCCTGAGTTCAGTGCCTTGTGGTCTCACTGGGCAAGTTCTATGGCTTGTGGCAGAGGATGCTGCGTGCAGCTGTTCCTTCTCCCCATGCCGTACACCATCTCACAGACTTCTGTCACCCGCAAGCTAAAAATATCCAGGCTCCTTCAGTCCCTTGGTGTGAAATCTGGTCTAGACCTCTCAGCTCTGTCAATCTTCTCTCTTTTCCAGCTCGAATATTTTCACGCTCAGCTCTCTGCTCCTTTCAGCTCTGTTTCTGTCATCCTGCATGAGGTTTTTTGATTACTTTGGGATGTGGAATCAGCATTTTCAGAAAGCTGCCTGCCCCAGTCACACCAGCAGTGGTATCTAGTTCAAAGCCTGTTAGCCTCTCTCTTCCCATCATCCCGACACCATTTTCCTTGGTATCATTCAAACCCGCTTCCATTAACAAATCCTAGTTAAATCCATCACAAGGAAGAGCTTTTTTCATTTCAACTGCAATAAACAAGCATTATCTGCTCTGCTGACTTCCTGTGAGCTTTGAAAGGAAGTATTAAGGTTGGCTAAAATCCTTTGGTAGCTTCTTTAGATAACTCACCTTTACAATACTAACAAAATTATTCCACTCGTTGGAAGTCTAAGGTCTGAAAACGACTATAGGAAAGGACATGGAAGAATAAAACTGCTGTCAATGGCTGTTTGCTATTTCCTGGCTCCAGATTTCACATCAACATGGTGGTCAAAAGTCACTGCTTGGTTGAAGGCCAGATGCCTGGGATGTGTGGAAGCACGAGCTTGAAGCACCATCCATAATTTTGCATTATTTAACCCTGTAGAGCATCCTGAGACTAGCTTGTGCTGAAGATGCTATATACTCTGGGTTACACTGCGTTACTTCACTATATTGCATTTGTGTACATGGTGATCAAACCTGCAGGACTCATTAACTAACCCAAGGGGTAGAAGAGACTTTCTGGCTTAGTGGAGGATTCTCCAACACAGCTAAAAGGAATAGTCAGCAGATAACATTCGTATTCTTAGCTTAGTCACAGACTTCTTCCACAATTTTGGGAACCATTCATCCTTACATTCCTACCAGTAAAACAAAGTAGATGATGACTTTTATTTTCTCAGCCCGTTGTCAAAACTTTCATTGTCATCTTTGTACATATAGCTCAAGAAAGAACTGACTAAAGACTCTGGATTTAGAAACTCTTGAGACAATTATTAATAATTCTTGGGAAAAAATGGAGGAGGGAACAACTTCCAACAACTTCGCACAATTTCTAAAATTCAGTATTTTAATGATCTGACCTAACAAGAGATCCCAAAGGAAAATTTCAGCCAGGAATGAAAATGTCCTTAACAGAATTTGTACTCTGCACTGGGATTAAGTGTGAATTGTGTTAAACCTTAGACACATTCAGACCCTCTGTGTCTTTCTAGTGGTAGCTATGCCCAATCCTTGTGCTGCTCAGGTGGTGGGTTTGGGGATTTTTTTCTCATTCTTGGGTTTTCCTCAGAAGGGCAATAAAAGGATGTGCACCTCCCAAAACATCAGTCCAAAACCAGTGAACGATGGCGCAGCCTGATTTGGAAAAGTCAAATTAAGCAAATGTGGATTCTAAACTGTGTGATTATGGGATACAACTGCAGCCACATATTTAATAAGGACAGTGCTCAGAACAGATGGAGACAGCCCTGTATACTGCTAGGCATCATTCATTGCATGAGAGGTCTTGGTTTTTGCTTCTACCCCACAACACCCATGCTGCAATAACTGCATCATGAGAATGATCCTGTTCAGCAACAGCAGGCTTGAGCCCAAGGAGGACCTTGCTCTGAAATATCATTAGCGGCTTTAAAGGGAAAAAATAGAGATTTCCCTTGGGAGAGACTGCTTTTGGGCACCTCTGGTGGTGTCCAGCCCAATGCAGCTATACCCCGAATACTGTCAAGGGTAGCAGTTGCAGTGATCACCACTGTATAAATTATTACTTCACTCAGTACTTATCTATAGTCCCACCATAGAAGATGCTGCAGGGAAAAGCCGAGTGCAGCACAGTGCAGATTCAAAGGGAGTCCACAGCATTTCAAACACCTGTGAAGAACACTTGGGAACGTGTGAGATAAGATCCTCTTCCAGATGAGGATGGCATCTGGAAGACCTCTGTGGGGTCTTCACTTGCAAACTAGGAAAAAAAGGAGCCCTTCCAAGTGCCAGTCAGTGATGCACTAGAGAATAAGCTCAGGTCACTAACACAAAAAAACCCAGTAGTACTGCAGCCTGCTAGGGGCAAAACCAAGGACTCTTCCCTTGTCCTAACGTATAGCCTTTCTTCTGTAGTTCTGCTTTTATCTACCATACCTCCCCTAAATGCACACACCTTCCTCCTTACAAGTGTGCCACAGGCTGAGGAAAACAGTTCTTCCAAAAATTAAATTGCACAGTCAAACTGAAAGCTATAGGAACAAACAGATTAAAAAACAAGAGATGCAAACCTTGACAAAAAAGATTTGCAAAAAGTTTCGCCTTAAACGCTCAAACTATGTCCTTGGTGAGAGGAAAAAAAAAACCCAAACCAGAGCCAAAGTTCAGACCTAGGGATTAATGTACCTTGTGTAGCTGGCCTGAGGGTTTTTCGGAAACAACACCCTTCCAACATCCTCTAGGGCCCTTCCACTTGCGGATGTTTGGCAGCGTCGGCTGGTTCAGCTCCATACAAAACTAGAGAGAGGAAAGGGGAAAAAAAAATAGATCAGCTTTGTAGGGTTTTTTAAAAATAGCAAATAAAGCATTGGTGAGATACACTGTGGAGAAGAGGCTGTGTTCTCTGCCCCTCCCCTGGAAGGGGTCTCCTCTGTGCTGCCTTCAAAGATGCTGAGTGCACCGTATCGAACCCTCCCGGGGGGCAGGAAGCCCCCGTAGCATGCCTGGCTCCACTCCAACACTGAGGCCACTGGTACAACACAAGAGGAAGGGTGTAGGCCAAGCTCAATAGCTGGATTTTTGGGGTTAAGACTGCTCTGACTTTACTCCAGGGACACATGCATGAGACTCCCTGTGCACAGAGGAATTGGCTGCACACTTGCACACAGAACAAGCAGATCCTTCTGATGCTCCCCAGAGGCGTTTGTCCTCCTGGACACTGCTGTACAACCATAGCACTGGGACACCTTTACACATCCAGAGATATGGAGGGTGCACCCTAACACCCAACAGATCAGGGATACTGTAGCTGTGGACACCATTGAAAGCCCCCCAGGTCCACCTGGATAACATCCTCAAATTAAAATACAAAATAATAATAATGATAATAAATCCTCTATGCCCTGGAAAAGCTGGAATCTGAAACCCCTAGATGCAGACAATATGGAATATTTTTTTGCCAGGATTTTCAAAATAAAGCTTAATAGGAGGAGCTAGAGCCCTTTGCAAAGCCGAGTCCCGTCAGACTTGGGCTGGAGGCTGGCAGGGAGAGGCAGCAGCTGAACGCCCCGGCCACGCAGAAGGGCCTGTGTGCTGCAGCTCGGGCTGCGGGGAAAGGGCTGGTAAAAAGTAATCACCACAAAAGAACAACAGGGACAGTCACCGAGCATCATTTTGTATTATCTGACGCTGGAGAAACTGCACTGAAATGAAGAGGTTTTCACAGTGAAAGAGTATCCTCAGACACAATCTTGTATCTGGAATGTCCCTCCAAATCAAGCAGCAATTTAATGAAAAAGGATTTTCAAGGCAAAAAATAATCTCCTGTACACAGTGACTCTTTGCAGCGGGACATACCAAACACAGTTTGAAGAGCGGCACAGATATAAATGTTTCCTATGTGGGTATCAGCAAAATGATGGGACAGCTATTCTCATGTTTATCTTTTGATTCAAAAATAAAAACAAACCCTGCTCCTTCACTAACTGCCTTGTCTGTGAGTTCAGTATCCTGGAGGCTGAAGCTGTGAGCATTGACTTCTCAGATACAAGTAACCCAGCAACCCCTTTTTGCATTGGAAGGCTGAGAGTCATTTTGGTTGCAACACCCAAAGAAAAAATGCTTGGCACACCTTTTAAAACAGTTTTGTGAAATGCAGAGATTGGCTGGGACTTCTTATTCAAGATGCCGCATTAATATACAGTGTTACTGTCCATCATATACCTTCGGGCAGCACTAGGGCTGGGCTGATTTATTAAATGAGGAGGCACGCAGGGTGTTTGCACAGCCTGGGAACAGAGCTTTGCTCCTGACTGATTGCCAGGTGCTGCCTTAATAAACACAATAAATCACAGCAGCAAAAATTATTCATCTGATGTCATTCTGATGACTTTAAACAGCATGAATATGGTGAATGAGTTTTCTAATATTTAAATAACTTAAATCAGGAAAAAGAAATTGTTGAAATTAGGAGTTCAACTGTAACCTGACAAAAGAGTTAACTTATCTCTGGGTTGCAGGTACCTAGAAAGTTCAGCCAGCCCAAAGTATACGACAGGGCTGAATAAATCCTACAGAAACCATGACTTTAGTAAAAAGAGCATCCATCTGCAGTCAACTAGTTCGAATATTTTGTTTCCTCCAAACTGAATTTTTTTTAAGGCCCTGATTTAACTTTGCTCAAACAAAAAGATGACAAATAAGATTACATGGTTTGTCCAGAAAAAAAGCCATCAGCCCTTTCTGGGTACGGTTGCAACAACAGAGAGCTTGGCCTACAGCAGCTGACTTTAATCTGTGCCCATTTTCCAGGGCTTACAGGCACACAGATTTTGAAGCTGTGACAGGATACTTGCTTAGGTCATGGGTTTTTTTGCTGAAGGGAGAAGGGCATTTCTCAAATCATGTTGTTCTGCCCACAAAACCCAATGTCAAACAACATTACACTTTCTCTCATACAGTAAAAATATACAGACAAGCTCTAGCCCACATTGGAAATGAAAAAAAATGCCTTTCCTCCTTTGTAAAACTAAGTTAGAGCTATGCCAATCTCTTTTGAGGAGCAGTTCTTCAAATGGTAGAGAAAAGTCAAAATTAAACTTTCAATCAATCAGAACAATATTTTTTTTTCCCAAATCCTCCTAAGGGGAAAAATTCTAGTTGTTTTTTTTTTTCTCTAGAACCTTTCAGGCTTCAAGTTTCCTGAAATTCAATCAGCTTCTTCATTAAATCATACACATACTGAGACAAAACTCACACACATACAAGAATACCAACAGCAGCAGGGCTTATTTACAAGGATGCCCTGTATGTCACCTGTGCCACCACGATCACTCTTGCAGCTGGGTGTTGGTTTTTGTGGGAAAGGCAGCGCTGCCAGGGAGCAGGAGCACAGCAGCACCAGGCTCCAGGTGTGTTCTAGGCAAAGAGCAGCCTGTGCTCTTGAGAAGTCAATCCACTAGTGACAGGTACCTGCCCGTTGCCCTCATATGGCCTGCAAGGCGCCAGCAAGGGCCACCACCCCAGCAACTGGGATAAGCCCTGTCACCTTTGCTCATCAGCAACATGTCATTTTCCCAAGGAGGGTGGATCCAATGATGTAATTGCTCTTTGTCCAGCCTGATAAGGAGCTGGTGCCTGTTGCTCCTAGCTCCTCCAGAAGCAGAGATGGGTAAAGGAATGAGTTTATAACTGACACTGAAGAAGTACAGAGGGCGGTTGGAAGAAGCTGGGGAAATGCACGTTTGAGGAGGGACTGGAGAGGGAAAGGAAAGGGGTCTTGGACTAATTTGGGATCAGAGAGAAGAATGTATGCTGGGCTGGCACATGCTGGACATCATAAGGGAGTCACAGACTCCCTAACACACCTACCTCCTCCCCAAGACACTCCATGCATGGCTAACAAGAACATCTACTTTATGCATTAAGTCAAATCTCTTCCTGTACAGTAACTCTGCACACTAGGAGAGCTGCCAGCGAGCACCCTGCTGTAGCCCACGAGCAGATCTCACCACCTCCTGTTCATCAGGATGCCCTGATTTTCTTTTGGGGTGCTATTTATGCAGCCAGTCCCAAACCAGGCACAGCAGGGTCACCTTTTCCAGATGACGACACCCCTTTGTGATGAACGTCTTTGCCTGCCAAGAGTTACCCCCGTAATACCAGCATAGGGCACCACATCCAGCCAGCAACCTCCCTTAAGGTGAGCATCTTTTGCTCAAAAAGAGGGTGCACTACTCCTAAACCCTGAGGAAACCAAACGTGACCCAGGAAAACAATGTCTTAGGGCTTAATAAATTACACATTTCTTATTAGCCAGTGATTCCTCTTTGGAGGACACTTGCATTTCAAACCTGGAGTCAGAGCAGAGGCTGTAAGGAGGACAAGAGGAGGAACAGTGAGGAGGAGCTTCCAGGCCCCTGATGTTACAGCATAGTACACCCTGGTGCAGTAATCATTGCCTGAACTTTAGAAAAGCACTCAAAACAATTAACTGTCCATTTGGATTAATAACCACAGAAACTTTCAGGCCAAAAGGGCACCGTAGTAAAGGAAAACAACAACTTACTTCAACAAAGTAAAGGTGATTTTTGGTTCCTCTTAACCGAGAGATGAGAGCCACGTAATAAATATTTCATTTCTAAATGTCACCCATACACAATTCCTTTATTTTTAACAGGCACTAGAGGCAGCAGCTTTAATGAGTAGCAGAGACATGAAACTTCTATTGATTCTTTATCATTTCAGCTATGTTGGGGTGTAGTAATATTAGTAAAGATTTGACATCATATTGATGAAAGAGACTTGGAGTTTGAGTGTGAGAGTTGGCAATAGTTAAAAAGAAGACCCTGATGAGAAGAAAAAAAAAAAAAAAAATGTTGAACTGTATTGTTCAGTCAAAATTAAACCAACTTTTTTTTTTTTTTTTTTTTTTTTTTTTTTTTTTTTTT